CGCCGCTCTTTGCAGGCGGAACTTGAAGGCATCAAGCTCGACCATGTCGATGCAACGAAAATGACTTCGGATCGAGAACTACAAAAGCTACAGCTGGAGAAACAAGATCTTGAGCGATCTCTGGAGGAGCAAAAAGATCGTGTAGTTATGGCCTTTGACCGCTTGAAGAGAGCCGAGGCACATGCCAATGAAAGCCAGCTGGAACTCGACCGGACCCGCGTCGAGAATACTGAACTGGATAGAATAAATGTAAGTACCTGAAAAATGATCTTCAGTGTGCTCACTCTGTCCTACAGGCACAGCTAGAGAAGCAGGTCAAAGACCTAAACGTCCGCGTCGTTGACCTTGAAACGAAGTCATATGCAAATTCTCCTCACCCATCCTCCACTGTCAGGCAGCTGCAGGGCCGTATCGATGAACTCACTACTCAACTCAAGCAAGTTTCACGCGAGAAAGTCGACTCCAATCGCTTGCATAGTTCTGATAAGGCAATTCGCGACATGCAACTACAGTTAGCTGAAAGCGAAAGGCACCACGTCAAATTGGAGGAGGAGCGAAAAATATCCGAGGGTCAAATAATTTCACTCCGACAGACACTGGACAAAGTTGTCAGTCTTACCTCTTCATTGATCATCTAGTTACTTGGCTAATTCCAGTTCACATCAATAGCAATCAAGGGAGAGTGAACTTGAGCGCGTGAAACGTCGCCTAGAGCGAGAGGCCATGGACTCCAAGCAGGCGATGCTGAAGTGAGTTTAACTCAAAGATTTTGACAAGTTGAGATTGGGACGTTTACGTGTCACTTTCTAGCCTGCAACGTGAAGTTGAACGACTGCGCGCACGCCTTAATCGGCCGATGTCAGTCGTTAGTGACGGAGGCTCCATCCCTGCAAGCTCGGGGTCTCCTCGCAAGGTGGCTCCATAGCATTAGCTAGTATTCAAATATTCGTCATTAATTTATGATATAGTCACATCTGAGTTACTGTATATTCCATCTCAACACCATGCACATATGTATCTTATAGTAATCAACTCGGTGTATGACTGCTCAGCAAAACAACTGTTTTCGTCCCGGAGGGAACTCCCGGGAACTTGCGAATAGCTATCAAAATAAGGTTCAGCCACCGCGTTCCACCAAGATAGTTGGAAATCATTAGATATGGTAAGCAAGACTTCAAGACTCAGTACTCCGTCATGGTACGCTCACGTCCGCTGGCCATTTGGCTCTCTTAGTCTCATTGCTTATGTGTATGTTAGCCCAAGGAAATTCGGGATATCAAGCAGTTCATCGAGATTGCGCGGCGGAAGGATGCTTCCCGTGCGTTTATACTGTTGTTGTACTTCGACAACACGCTGACTTCACGCGCACTGATCTTGTACGAATTTTCGCATTCTGTTATATATTCAGAGGCCCGTATCAAAAAAATCGCCGCAAAATCAGCAGCTGGGAAGGTCCAGACTAAATTCAAAGTGCGGTGTTCACGATACTTGTACACTCTTTCTGTGGACGACCCAGAGAAGGCTGAAAAGCTCAAGCAGAGCTTGCCCCCAGGTGCGTGATCAGATCGGTCTTCTTAGTGTGTTTCATTGCCTGATATATGGGCCCAGGTTTGAGTGTGGTAGAACTCGGGGCAACACCGAAGAAGAAGTGAAACCCTTCTCCATCTCACACTGTAGTATGATTCGTGCGTCGCAATGGAGGGGCACCGATCGACTTGTGCATCACTAACCTATGATGAATATGCATGCAAGTCACATGTAGTCTTATTATGAACAAAGACAGATAGCTTTCGCCTTGCTTGACTTATACAGCCTTTGATTTCATACAATCATCCATTCTATAATACCAAGCATAACGCACGACCCCAAAAGCGTGCATGTACCGATCATTACGAAGGTTCGAAGTACCTGCTGCACTCTCCTTTCATATGAACGACTTCCACGTGTCCTCAGTGCCTCGATGTCGATCATGGTCGAAGGAGTATGAGACCATTTGGTGAAGACGATTTCCAGTAAAATTATTAGCAGTTGAGATCCATCCAATGCGGGCAGGGGCAGCGAGTTGAAAAGATATAATGATAGATTTGTGAGCTTCAGGTACCTGCCCAGAGTCAGCCACATGGTAGTTGTCAGTCTAAGTGACGTACTGGAAGAAATCTGCAAATACGAGGGGTAGCCCTAGGGGTATAATGCCAAAACGCGGTGCGAGATACGTTGTTTGAACTGATAACAGTGAACATCGAACACCACGCACGCTTGGATTCGTGTATCATACCTTGCTCCCAAACTTCGTACCTGGGGCCACTCCAGAGCACGATGCGCTCGTCTTCGGTGCCTGCCCCTTCGTGATTCACTGTAATCCGTAAGATGTCTCGGTCTTCCCTCGGTTTGATGCACGACTGCGATTCCAGACACGACGTCGAGGAGTCGCATCGGTTTTGCATTTTTGACAGTATGGGTACCGGATCGGTACAATACTCTTCAAACGTACTTTCAAATGACACAAAACAGGATGATGATGATGATGATGATGATGATGATGATGATGATGATGTACTACTGTCAGTATCCACACAACACTGATGATCACCTAAGGAGGCACTAAGTCAGGCAGGATGACGCAGGTACCATGCTCACCACTAAGCCGCGATACATCCACACACCACCCCTGCTTATAAACGGCCGGATTAGGTTCCAATAGATAAGTGGTCCACGCATCACGAGATGAGCGCAATGGAAGATCGTCAAGTGTCGTCAGGAAAGATCCAACAGGAAGATGCATGCTCAGAGGAGAATCCTACAAAAATTTAGCAAAATAGTGAGGTTATCGTCTTTGGACCATACTGACGGCTTCGACATGGGCCACGATTAGCCCTCTGGTGAAAACATCTTCATAACCTACCAACAGTATCCGTTGTCCAATACCAGACCAGCCCGCAGCCAGTAGAATCAGCCAGAGCGTCAGGTTATGAAAACACCCTGAAGTTACAACCCGTAAGCGATCGGGTGAAGACAACTCCTCGACCCTTGCAGAAGGCAACGTCACGAATGCGGCGGGGAACATGAAAGTCATAGAAGCTCCTGCCGCCAGCATAGGGATCCGATGACTAGGAAAAACACGAAGCTGTGGCTAATGGACTATGTCATATTGTGAGGGGAGACATACATTGCTGCAGTGATAGCATGCCCACTTTCATGCACGATTTGACTGATGCAAAGGGAGAGTAGAATCAGCGGTAGGTGTTTTAATGGAACGGTCAAGCCAGGGATCTACATGCAATGAAGTGAGTGCTCGAGGTATTTGAGCTAGTTACTGGAAGTGATCCACGTATATGTACTGCAGTTAACTCACAATTGGATTGACAGCATGCGTGACTCTAGAATATGTCGTTGCGCGAGTCGTGACTTCAACAGCTCTCTTCAGCAACGACGCTGAAGTATCTGGCGCAGTCACTCGTAGGAAAGTGGAAGACAGGAGTGACACCATAGTCCATACGAGCAGAGCAACAGCAGTGAACATTCCAAAGATAACGAGTACGCTGCCAGTATCATAGAACATGAGCAAAAACTTTCTTGTCCGCAGGTAGTTTCTACTGGCCAAACGTAAAGAAATGGTGTCATGATGAACATTGAATGCTCGTGTCTGTACGCGAAGGTGAAAGAGACTCCTTGGGATCGAGGCAGCGAGCGATTTGATCCTCTTTAACTGAATTCTGCGGAGGTGCATGGTGGTTCGCTCGAAGTGGCATGGTGTGGTTTCGTATACGTACATAATCGGACTCTGGGCCGGGCATTTACACCGACAGCACAGCGCGGTGTCTCTCTTCTCACCAACGACCATGAAGATCTTCTCCCTCTCAGTTGTTCTCGCACCTTCCTCAGGCCCTTGTTCAGTTCTTAGCTCTACTTCAGATGTCTCTAGTTTCTCGTTCTACCAGAGAAGTTCTGTCAGCGAGTTTTTGACATTCTTCACCAAGACAGTCGTAGAGAGAACTCCTCAGGGCCAGCGTCAGAGTGTACAAGAGAACAATTACACTGCCCATGTGTACAACAGGAGTGGTGCAGAGCAGCTTGCAGGTGGGTCGAAGCTCTGGATGTAATAGAGCCATCGAACTCACTCCTTCCTCAGCTATTATTATTACCGATCATGAATACCCCGTTCGACCCGCCTTTTCTCTTCTAACGAAGCTACTTGATGATTTCACTGCCAAAGTCCCCCAATCTGCCTTCGGAAACCCAGGATCAATATCATTCCCAGAGATCCAGACCTACATTCAGAAGTACCAGGATCCTCGGCAAGCTGATACAATTATGCGGGTACAACAGGAGCTAGATGAGACGAAGATTGTCCTGGTAAGCCCTCCCCTCATTAGGATAATCACTCGATTGTTTTATCGGTGTGACGGTGTATTGTAGCACAAGACCATCGAGTCTGTTCTCCAACGCGGGGAGAGGTTGGATAACCTTGTAGAGCGATCGAATGCTCTATCCGCACAGAGCAAGATGTTCTACAAGACAGCTAAGAAGGTCAGCGGCTGTCCTTTATGTTTGGGTGACTCGGTCTGACAGCCTCATTAGCAAAATTCATGTTGTGTGATCATGTAGATGACTATTCTTCTCTCCTCATTCATGCTTTTTCTTTGTTGCGGTTGTTGTTACGTCGGACCAGGTAATTAGTAACACATCCGTTAGTTCTGTATTTCACATGTCGTGATCGTGTCAGTGTGGCCAGTCTATTGAGCACGTCAACGAACTGATACCACAGTCTGGATATGTTGTAAGTTCTTAGCTAGTCTAGGATTTATAAATTTTATCCAAAAATGACATTGCTGAGAAACATGCCCATGCATTAAGAGGGAATCGAACCCCCGGCGGGTCGATGGCAACGACCCAGGTTACCACTACCCCATTAATGCTTGTGAGAGATGGGTGTATTTAGCTTTATTTACTACGTGGCACTGGTAAATATCTATCCTCAGGCCACACGGATAATCGGGTCACTCAAGTCGTACGATCGGTTATCGTTTTCCTCGATCCCGAGTAATTTGCCATTGGCATATAAAGCCAGCGTGGTCATGGTGCTGGCTTCACGTTTTTAATCCATATCTACATTTTCATCCTCCATCACCACCAGAACATCCTTCCTGTAAAATGGTATGTTCCCATCTCATATTCCGTACAACAGTGTTAATCACTCAAAACTTTACAGCCTGCTCACGAAGCTGTAATTGTTGCCGCGTCCCGTACGCCTGTCGGATCCTTGTATGGATCACTTAAGACTTTGACTGCTCCCCAACTTGGCGCTGTGGCTCTCAAACATGCTTTCGAGCAGTCAAAAGTTGATCCCTCAGTAGTCGAGGAGATCTATTTCGGCAATGTCGTCCAGGCTGGTGTTGGTCAATCACCCGCACGTCAAGTAGCACTCGCTGGCGGCATGAAGTCCGCATCTGACGCCACGACTATCAACAAAGTCTGTGCTAGCGGTATGAAGTGTATCATGCTTGCTGCCCAGAGCATAGAATCCGGTTACAAGACCGCGGTTGCTGCTGGTGGTATGGAGAGTATGAGCAATGCTCCGTGAGTACTACAGTCCCGATTGCCACTTTGCACAAGATTTACGGTAACATGTTATTTAGTTACCTGCTTCCCCGCACGAACCCTTTGTTCGGCAAATTCGAGACCAGGGACTCCGTTGAAAACGATGGTCTCTGGGACGTCTCCAACAACTTCGCCATGGGCAACTGTGCCGAGGCTGTCGCAGAGAAGTACGAAATCAGCCGAGAGTCACTCGACGAGCACGCCATCGAGTCGTACAAACGTTCTGATCGCGCATGGAAAGCGGGCGCTTTCAGCGCTGAGATAGCTCCCGTCACGATCAAGGGCAAGAAGGGCGACATCGTGGTCAAGGAAGATGAGGAGTACAAGAAAGTCATCTTCGAGAAGGTTCCCTCTCTTAAGTCAGCATTCAAACCAGGCGGTCGCATCACTGCTGCCAACTCTTCAAACCTCAATGATGGCGCCTCTGCTCTGATATTGATGTCAGCAGAGAAAGCACAGGAGCTCGGCGTAAAACCACTCGCCAAAGTGATTTGTAAGTTTGACTTCTTGTGTGGCTGTACACCGTCTGATATGTCGTTATCTGCAGCATATGCAGATGCGGGTGTTGAACCCATCGACTTCCCCATGGCTCCTGCTGTCGCTCTCCCAGAAGCACTCAAGAGAGCAAACCTGACTGTCGATGACATCGCACGTTTCGAGGTTAACGAAGCCTTCTCGGTTGTCGTCCGTGTTGCTGAAAAGCTCCTACAACTTGATCCTGCAAAGGTCAACATCGACGGGTGAGTTCTAATTTGCGTTCAGGGGCTTATGTTTGCTAACGAGATCCAACAGTGGCGCCGTTTCACTCGGTCATGCGATCGGAAACTCGGGGTCTCGCATCGTGGTGTCCCTTGTCCACGCCCTAAAATCTGGCGAGTATGGCGCAGCGGGCATCTGCAACGGGGTAAGTGATTTGTAATTCTACATGGTGTCGCATTGCTCAAATGATACCTTGTCTAGGGCGGAGCTGCTTCTGCCATTGTCATTCAAAAACTATAATTGTTGTAACGCTTTTATACATTGTTGGTTTCTAGACGACGTACGAACAACCCATCTACACTATTGTATCTGTATCTTCCCAATAGAACACATCAAGCTTTGCATAATACCGGATTGCTGTGAGAACCTCGAACAAAAATACATTTATCTACAGAGAAGTCAGGTCGAGGAAGTTCGCTGCATTGTTCGAGACTCTGGACCCTTCTTGCGCTTGTTTCTTGATCAAACTGTCGTTTCAGATTACAATGCTGGTCATCATTGGTTCTCGTTTTGACATGATACGGGTATTTCCCCTGTCATTTTTGAAGCCCAGCACTCGTGTTGTACCTGGTGGGATGATGCAGGAATTCAGCAAAGAGTAAGTAGTACAGACAACGCTTACGGAGCTCGCAACTTCTGGGTCGTGACGACAACCTCCCGCCTTCCTAGTCTGCTTCCGACCCGTGCTGCGGCTTTGAGACTCGTCGGTACCGCGCAAAGTACCCGAGAATCGGTTTCGTGGTGTAGGTCGAAAATCTTTTGGATGACGGCGGCCCTGCATTGGTAGTAGCAGCTCCACGGTCCGCTGCCGTACGCCTGCATCAGGTTATTCGACATGTGCAACGACCTAACGTCATCCGTACCAGGGACAAAGGCTCATGGCAAGCGCTGTTCGCTTGAGCGTTTCGATGAAGACGACAGCAGTAGCCGCATCATATCTCATATCTCGCAGGGTCGATTGCCTATACTCGATCGGTCATACCATTGCAAAAATAGCTCGACGTCAACGTTCATGGCGGCGGCGTGACGTTTTCGGTTGACACAAAAAACCTGCTACATGGACCCGCATGACACCTTGTTGATACATTTGGCGGGTCGACCCGTCCGAGTCTATACCTCAAAGAGACGCAATGAGTTGATGGCATCAACGGACGAATACGAGTCCTTGATATCGCACGGGCGCTGGGTGAATGACCGTGGCATAGCGCAAATAATAACTGCATCAGCGCCGTAAATTCGAATCATATCGTGTCCATATCGTATGGGCGGAGTCTTGGAGAAGAACAGAACCACGTAGATTGGCCCAGAACCAGCCTATTATCAACCCGGAATGAAACAAAAATGTAAGTTATACATAGATATCAGAAATGATGACGTACATTCGATTCGATTCGTATCCGTGCACGTGATATTCTACGTTGTGCACGAACCTATTCGGCGTATAGGCGACATGAGTGACATGCTAGTGACCTCGCCTTAGTACGCTTGTAGTGGCGCAACCTGATCATTCGGGCACGATACACCGTGATTGACGTACTAGTACTATAGAATTGACACGTCCTTTATATACCCATCGATGGCGCGAAGGGCGACCCAGGCGTGCACCAGGTGCACACTCAGGTCAGGCTCATAATGGGGGTAGGAGTGAAAATGAAAAATGACCCTGCCAAAACGAGGTAGAGCGCAGAAAACGCACACCCACCAAGTGACTTTGAAATTTCATTGAACACGGTTTACGGTGCATATACATTGGAAATTCGTCGAGGCAAAAACTTTAATTCTCTGAGCAAGGCTATGCGAGGCACAAACATTGATCCAGGAGCTAATCATGATCAGGGGTTTCTGCACTGCACATTCGTTCAAAGTTGCAATAAGAAGTATGCATAATATTATCATCGCCACGTCGATGCTAGTGCCAATTGTAACAATGAAAGCTTCAATACAAGCTTCGAGGACTAAAACAACAACGACGACAACAACAACAAGAAAAAAACAAATGAGCGTAACGAGCGTACGACGACGCAGTCGGGTCAAAGCCAGAATCTAAGATACGAAGACTACGAGGAGACGTAGTCCGTGTCCATCTCCATGGCACGTACCGTTGTAATTAAAAATATCAGTCCATCTGGATCAATCTTGGTACCATTACGCCAACAAGTCACCATCACCTGCAGAGGTTCCACATCTTCACATAATCACTATTCCAAACCACATCAGACCCAAGCCAAAAAAAAGGAAAAAAAACTCACATCCTAAACGCACGCTCATCCGGATTCGGAGGCCACGTAGCGGTCCACTCCTCGTACTTACTTGCGAAATCGCGCATCGCAGCTACATCGCGTCAGAATGAGCCCTGCCCAAAGCAAGAACAAAAAACATACTAGCAGATCCATCATACCACGGCTTCCCACCTACACTATCTGGGAACCACCCACTCGTCCCGCCGACCGCCAGATCGATCACAAGATAGAATTCTGTCCAGTATCAATCTTAGCATTAAATTCCAAGCTTTTCAAAAAAAAAAAACTGACCCTGATCGAAAGGGGCAGCAGCACTCCCCCCATATGCCGTACTCCACGGATCTGAGACGACCACTTCCTTTCCACTCGACGCGTTCATAGCTACACCTGGGAATCCACCTGTATTGAAGAAATAGGAATCGGAGGATTTGGAGGATATTTTTAGGTTGATCATTGCCTATCGTGGGTTCGGTTAGTTCGGGTGACAAGACGGGTAAGTAGAGCGGGACGGGTACGGGAAGGGGATGACCGAGGGACAGCAAAATGCCATCAAAAAACGGATAAGACCGCGGGTTACAGCAAACCGAGAGCAGGAGCGAAAAAGAAGAGAATTGTAGGGAACGGAGACGGTAAACCCACCTGCAGCCGATCATCCGTATAAAACCTCATCCACTCGCTGGTCCACTCAAACGCATAAACGTGGAACCCGTCGGCAAAATTCCCGCGTTTGGTGCTTACCCAGCCGTAGATGCTCTTCAGGAGGTTGGCAGTGGTGCTTGTGCCTGTCAGTGTGTGTTAGGGGGTGAAAACAACGTGGCTGAACAAAAACGATGAAATATACGTAAAGGCCAATTGAAGTTGAAAGCGACAAGTTGGTGAACCGAGAAACGCCAATCGAAAGCCAAAAATACAAAACCACGAATGAACCGAAAAGAACTCCGCCCCAAGCGCAAAACCAGGAATAAACGCTCACCGGTAGAGATGGGCGTAGAGCCACCCGCAAACGGCCCATAATTCAGGGACGAGCGGACATAGTTCGAACCTTGAGCGGGATATGAAGGAAGGTTGCCGCGGGCTTCCATGATCTGTGGTGGTATTAACAGGGGTGCCGGCAGAGGAAAGGTGAGACTTACATCGATCTCGCCGCTGACGGGCCACGCGCCATAAACTCCCGTTCCCTGACCTGTGCTCGAGCTTGTATCGTTACCCTGAGGAAGCATCCAAATAGCGGGCCACAACCAGTCTCCCTGAGGCAGTTTTGCGCGGACCTGGCATCTGAAATTAGCAGGCTAAAAGATTAGAGACACAGCAGACGCACCTCGACACGGCCATACTTGATAGTTTGTTTTCCACGGGTATTAAGACGACCGCTCCTGACAGGGTTGATGACAGTGCCGCTCTGATTATTTGAAACAGCTGTGCATGGGTTGCTGGAGGAGGAGGTGGAATTACTGCTGGTAGTAGAATTGCTTGAACCGGTAGTTGTGGAATTACCGGAGCCTGTTGTTGTGGAGTTACCGTAGCCAGATGTTGTAGAGTTGCCTGATCCAGTAGTGGAGTTGCCCGAGGTGGTAGTTGAATTGTAATTGCCTGAATGGAAGTGAGTGAGGGGGCGTGGGAGTTGTTGTTTGTTACGCACCCGTGTCGTTGTTTTGCCGACGAAGAACCCACGCGCCTTGATCTATGACTACACGGAATCAATGAGCCTCGGAAATGAGGAGGCCAAAACATACCTCCGCCTTGAGCTGTACAGTCTGGAAGCGGATAGGTGGCTCCAGACATGACTGAATCCCAGCCGCCGTCGATGGAGTCGCTCGTGAGTGTGGGCATGATGTAGAGTTGACCATTTGAGATGTAGACGTTGGAGGGATCGTCGGTTGTCATTTCAAATTCACCGTTGCTAATGAAAAGTTAGACAGGGATTGTGGTGTTTAGTGGGACGTACCCGAAACCACCGAGCTCGATGTCATAACTCCAATTATTGGGGTCGATAGAACTGTCAAAGTCGTCTTGCATGACGAGACAGAGTTGACTGTCTGAGAGGAGGTCTACGGATTCCCAACCTCTGAAGCAGAGTGCAGCTGCTATAAGGACGCCCAGGAGGGCAGCAAAAAAGGTGAGCCACCAGCTTCCTGATTCGCAACGACGTTTCTTTGCGAGCCATGGTTTATCGTCTTTGGTGAGTTTTGCTTTGAGGCGGGTTGATTGAATTGGTTTCTTCTGTGTGAGGGGGAGTGCGACGACAGAAGGATTAGCTGATACGGGTGGAGGGGACCATATGGTTGATGGACGTGAAGCGGGGGATAGGAAAGGTGATCTGAAAATTGTTGTCGCGCTGCTTGCTCTTGGGAGTTGTAAATCTGGTGAGCGATGTAGGTTCGCCAAAGAGTAAGAACGGTTGAATGATTTGTAGGGAGATTCTGCTGATGGCAGACGTGGTGTCTCGAAAAAGCTACCGTCGAGAGACCTTCTTGCGGGGTCAGCGAAGGGGAAGGTGAAGGCGGAAGGGGGAGGGTCTTGACGCCTTTTGCTTATTCTTGGTCTTGGTGAGTCTGGAGAGTCTTCCTGTGATGAATGGTCATCTGAACTTGAAGGAGTCAGAAAGAAAGGACGGGGTGAAGCCATGAGGGCAAGGTTGGGTAACCCTTCTCTGTTTCTCTTTGAAGGACCTTTCTTATCTTGTAACACGTAATTGCCGCATGACGCGTGTGTAACGTACACCGAACCAGATTCAGAGATCCCAGATCTGATCTCACCATTTATATTCCACCGCTCTCTCCCCAAACTCACTCACCCAACTCATGGACTACGACAGATACGACGCTACTCTCCATTACATCTTCAAACAAACTCAAGGTGACGCTTGGTTTAGGCCACATGAAGATTCAGTCCCTCCAGGCGTTTGTCTTCGTACCCATGACGGTCAATTCAGAGTATTCCCCTACGAAACTGCCGCACTCGCTCCATTCGAGGCTGCTGTAGCTGCTCTCAATCCTCTCGTTGCAGTCAAAGTCAGAAGTGCTGCAGTACACGCTGCTTTGGCAGAACAAGCTATCGACGATTGCATCTATGTCGACTCAAATACTCGCATTCAAGTACTCGAGTCAATGTACCTCCTTCCACAAGCAGAAAAGGATCAAAACGCTGCTTTCATTCGCGATGAACGCGTGCTCGTCGTTTGGAGCGACTCTCTCGATACAATCATCCCAATCGCACGTGACTTTGAAGATCGTCTCATTCGTCTACTCTGGCGTACGAGACCACCCCTACCTTCCACACACGAACCCTCCATATACTCTGAAAAACCAGCCGATCCCCGTCTAACACCTTCCTCCACCGTAAACTCAGATTCACAAAGACGAACATGGTTTGGTCGTGTCGTTCCTTCACAACAAGACCCAGAAAAGACCGAACAAAAACAACCAACCCGTCCAATCATGCTATATGCTCCGCTATACAATGGTCTATGCGCTGCACTCGCTTTCAGTAAGTCACAATACCCTCTTTGTTTTCTTTCCCTCACCTTCTCTAGTTTTCATCGGCAACGGCGTTCGCACTCTCCTTACAGAATTTCGCCTAGACGGCAACTACACTCATTTTGCTCTTGGCGCCCTAGTGCCACTTCTCTATTGTGTATCCTTGGTAACTATTCCTTTTATATCATATACCCCCTGCTTACTCTTTTCAGTTCTTCACTCTTCAAATATTCCAAACACTCACATTTGCAGTCGGTCCCATCGCTCATTACCACCAAAACAGTCGTTACTACTCAGCAATCCCTCCACTGCCAAACCCTGCCATAGACAATGCACTCCCTCACATCACAATACAGATGCCCGTCTACAAAGAAAGCCTCGCTACAGTCCTGTAAGCCTCTTCTTTGTTGGCTGATCCTCGCTAATACATTTCAGCACACCCTCCCTCACATCCATCAAAATAGCAATGCAGACATACGCACGTCAAGGCGGCACATCCAGCCTCTTCATCAACGACGACGGCCTTCGTCTCCTCCCCCAAGATCAGGCAAAGGAACGTATCGAGTACTACGCAAACCACGGGATCGGCTGGATTGCAAGACCACGACACGGACACGAAGGTCACTCTCATTCTCCCTCTAGCCCGTCAACGCTAACATAGACACACACAGGCTTCACGCGCGCAGGTCGCTTCAAAAAAGCCTCCAACATGAACTACGCACTCGACGTCTCCCTCCGCCTTGAACGCATCCTCGAGGAACTTCAATCATCTCACAACTCCCTTGAATCATACCCTTACAATCGCCAAAACCCAATTCCCAGCTCAAGCAGAGATAGCAACATATTCACGCCTCCCAACCCACCCTTTCACCGTGCCAGCGTTAGCACCACATACAGTGCTCAAACCGTCCAAACAGAGGGCGGAAGCATCGTTAGCGTGCCTGGGCAGTCCCCTGGGACGTACGGGGTCCAGTATATCGGCAAGGACGGAGACGATCAGGCGTTCATCACTCCTTTTCTCAGTAGCAATAGCAATGGCAGCATGCCTGGGACGCCTAGACCCGGTATGACGGGGAGTCCGCGGACTATCAGCCCTGAACCCCCCACACTCGCAGGAACGCATATCGAAGACATCGAAGAGCGGGCTCTTCAACTAGCCATGGAAGAAGGTATATCTTCCATTAGTCTCATTTTGACCAATCACGCTAACTCAAAACAGTATTCCAATTCACAGGACACAGACCATGGGCAGCAAACGCCCGTGCCTGTCGAATTGGAAGCATCATCTTATTAGTAGACTCAGATACGATCGTCCCGACGGATTGTTTTAGGGATGCAGCGAGAGAGTTTGCAGAGGACGAAGGCGCTGAAGTTGGGGTTCTCCAGCATGAGAGCGGTACGTCTCCTTCCCCTATCCCCTCCGCTCGCTAACCTAAACCCAAATCCAGACGTCCTTCAAGTAGCCCACCACTACTTTGAAAACGCCATCGCCTTTTTCACCCGCCGAATCAACAAATGCATAAGTATGATGTGCGCAAACGGGGAAGTGGCACCTTTTGTAGGGCATAATGCGTTTTTGAGGTGGAGTGCGTTGCAGGATGCGGCATTAAGTGGGGTGGATGCGTCTTCTACTCATGATTCTGGTGCGGACGAAAACAGAGCCCAAGTCAAGATCTGGAGCGAGGATAACGTCAGTGAAGATTTCGATATGGCGTTGAGGCTTATAAGACAGGGGTATATCGTTAGGTTCGTCCTGTTCCTTCTCGAGGTGGTTGTCACTCACGTTTACTCTTAGATGGGCGACCTACTCCCAAGGCGGGTTCAAAGAAGGTGTATCGCTCACTGTCGATGATGAGTTGAATAGGTGGCAGAAGTATGCCTATGGGTGTAATGAGTGCGCTTTTTTCTTTCCGTGCACGTTCGATATTTCCGATTCACGGCTCGCACAGGCTTCTCTTCAATCCCTTCGTCAAATGGTTCTACAAGGGCCCCATCAGCAAACAGATCCACAAGTTCATGTGGAGTCCCGCACCGCTCCATTACAAGATCTCGATGATGGCTTGTACGTCCCCCTCCTCCTCCCCAATGCTCATACTGACTTCATCACAAATAGACATGTTCTCATACTGTACGTCCTCTCTGACGTATAAAACAAAACAAAACACTAACTTGAAACAGACGGAATAGCAGCCTCAGCAACCATCTCCGTGATCAACTACGTTATGCTTGGCTTCCAATTCCCCACAGACGATTTCTACATGCACAGTTTCGAAATATGGCTCGCCACTTTTGTTGTATTTTTCGGAGCCGGTAATGTAGGGTATGTGCTTTTGCGGTACAGACTCGGAGAGAGTGGTATCGTAGCCGGCACGATCGAGTGTTTTGGGTGGATTCCGTTCTTGTGAGTCCCTCATCCCTATCGTATCCTATTTCGTGAACTGACGGCAAATATAGCTTCTTCTTCTTCGGTGGACTAAGCATCCCGGTCTCACAAGCCATTCTCGCTCATTTGTTCTCGTACAACATCACGTGGAGCGCAACAAAGAAGGAGGTCGAGAGGTCGAATTTCTTCAAGGAGGTTCCAAAGATTTTCAGGAGGTGCGTTTCTTTCTTTCTTTTTTACTTTGATTTGCGTTTTATTTCCATATATTTTTGCGTTGCTTCTGTTTTGGATTGGAGTCCGGACGCGTTTCCGCATCACTCGATTGGTCGGACGCGTCCGTGTCACTTGACCAACGCGTTGCGTTGGCGCCCACTTTTTGTTCCGCCGAACGTGCGCATCAGTGAATTCAGGCGTTATCTCCGTGATTGGCAATGATTATCTAGGAAATATTGGCCTCGGCACATGTGCCTGGGCGTTGCATATGGTGCTGGGACGGACATGGCTGGCACACTGCTACTGCAGTGCTGGACACGGGCATGTGTGTTTTTTCTGATGATCGGAGGACATGCGTTTGCGGTCTTGCACCCGCTGCAATGTGGTGCGCCCATATGCACGACTCACGCTTCGTGAAGCGGTCATTTCGATCGTCTTCGACTCATCACTGAAAACGCCGCACCCTATTCACTCAAGGCCTTGCCCCCTTGTTGCCTCGTTTCACTTGGCGCGATATCCGCACTTTCTCTTCCCTTCTTTTTTCCACGCCTTTCCCTTTCTGGCTTCCTTGATATCACAATCCAGTGCTGACGGACATCATTGGCCTCCTCTCCTCCATATAGATTCTGGTTTCCCCTCCTTGTATGTATCCTGCTGATTGCGGGTGTCGTCATCGTCAGTACGCCGTTGGTGCCATATCAGTGGCAACTGACCGCAAATGCGTGGGCCGTTATCTTCCCGTTGACGGTTGTATGCGCTTGTCATATCTTATTCCCGGTACGTCTCGTTAACCTTGTCTTCCATTCTGCGATTGGAATGAGCGATCGTCCATTTCTGGATTGGATTATGCTTCTTCAAACGTTCTTCCCCTCGCCATCCTTGTCATAGCATGCTTCCCGAACGTTCCTCTTCTTCGCTTCGGCGCATTCCGCTACCTTCTTTTTTTTCTACTCGCTCAAGCATCGATGCTAACACCGATATGCATACTTAGATCGTCCTCAACCCATGGCTCATGATCTTCTCGTACTGAGCTGAGGACTATGCACAATCACGTTCTCGCACTCGGGCAGGGTTCCCCGAATGCATGACCTCCACCTTGCTAATTAATCGCATATCATGCTACTTAGAAACGAAGAACAATCAACATACTCGTCAATCACCGTCGAATCACTCTTTTTCATCTTGGTCCGTCTTTATTCCCACGCCAGGGCGCAATCCGGATGTCTGCCTATGCCTGTATGTATGCAACTTATTGTCAATCGGACAGGACATTCGGTTACGGTTATTGTTACATTCCGCAATTGCGAAGATGCATGTTGTCTCGTAAGTTTGGACTTGTTTACCTTACATACCCGTGTTTGAACTTTTGGACAATGTCTTGTGTCATGTCGTTGCTGTCGTCGTCGTCGTCATCATTCCATTGCTTTTGTTGTCATCCCGATTCCTTGCTGTGCACGGGTGACGTGAACGCAGGGCTTTTTTTGCAGAACTTTCCAATACTTAGTTGTCAATAACACTTCTTTGGGTATTGATATTATGAATAGGCTATGACATTACCGCCTCTTGCAATCGATCATCGACAAGATTTTTGGGTCTGAAACGCGCATTGCACAAATAGTCTTGGAATCTCTTATCAGTTTGATGATGTACAGCGGTCACCGGTCAGACCGGTCACTGATGGTCTACGAAATCGATGATCACTGATGGGATGTTGATCTATCAATATGTAAAAGTGGATATCTTGTTCTTGGCCACAGGGGTGCATTGATCAGTACATCACGGGATGTACCATAAATATCAAATGCTCACGTCGCGCCCTAATTGACGCTCATTTGGCCATGAACTGTCGACTACTAATGACCGTGTGGTCAGGGAATTTTCATTATCCTACAAGCGGCGTTGGTCGTAAAGGCACGATAGCGGTAGCAGTGCGGAAGCGTTGTGACCTCTAGACTCTGATGCGGCCCGTCGGGAAGTGGTCCCCATGTATGCCAGTCTCATGACTGGACTTGGCATAACGTTGCGATCCTGTAGATAAGATCATCGAGCACCCAAGGAAGGAAAAGACAGGGCCATCCATCGAACGGGCGTGGACTTTGACTTGGGTGGAGTAAATTCTATCGCGAATCTTCGACTTTTTTTTATCTCGCTGGCTTTGCAAATACGATGCAGAAGATTTGATGTCATGGGTGCCAATATCATATGGACACTGCCCAAAGCCACTGCACCGCATGATAAGCTCTGGCACGGTGAGATGTTTTTAGATGTGAGATCATAGAAGTGCCTCGCAGAAGCGGACATTATAGAATACTTATTAGGGGTCCGCCGCCTGTGATACCCGTACCGAACTACCTGCATAACTGAAGCTTTGTAGAGGTGCGTACATGATGGTCTGCTCTCCGATCTATATCCGAGAAGTGCGTGATATCATGCCCAGGAGTCGTTCACCCGACGGTGCCGATGACACTGCAGGCACGCAGAAGAACTTAAGATAAAAGGATTTAGACAATCCATGACAGAATAGTGTGCGTCTGTAGTGCGTACGTACCACGCAGTCCTCTGCTATATAACGGCGATTGCAATAGTATGAGAGTTGAATTCCCCCTACTAGCGCTAATCGATAAAACCCCATCACCGTCGTGCGCTATTGTTGCAAAGCATTGGAATCACCTTCTAAGATGATTCCGAAGCCAAGATATGATAAAGGGGCGGCCCGAGCCTGTTTGCCGGTGATAACTGTGCATGATGGAGGTCTGGACAACAAACAAGGAAAGAAGATACTTGGAAAGTACGACCCTATCTCGTGCTCCAAGGTTCTCCGGAAAACTGATACAGAAGGTGCAGTTATCTTCTACGGGCGCCCATCTAGTCTTCCTAGCGATGACCCGACATGAGCAAATGAGTGGGCGACTGCCACATCAGTCCAAGAAGTCAGGAGACTCACAGTATCCGATCTGTGGCCCGGCGACCTTTGGTCCCAGCATCGCCTGGAAGTTGTATCCATGCTAGTCGACATTGCCGAATGTCCTCGATGGCATCATGATTCATGATCATGATGTTGTGCGACTTGGCTGCAGACTCTAGCGCCCAGCCAACGGTAAACATCACGTGGCAAGATTCACACACTCGGAATCGCATAGCAGATGTTTGTTTTTTGGTTCACGAGCAAATGCTTGCTGGTGATCAAAACCGAAGAATAGCGTCTCCACCTTGTGCAGATATTACTATGGGCCATTCCATGGGCTCGGACGGACTTCCATTTATCCACAGGTGTGCTAGCTTGTTGGATCCAGACGAGTGCCCTGTTGTACAAAAACTTCAGTGCTCAGTGCTCAGCAAGCTATGTTCAAGTCTCATCTAAACGTAATGGCTCCCATGGCTGTGTTAAATTTTTGTGTAAGGGTCTAGACTTCACATGCCCCTACGTTATTGAATCATTTGCCGTGGGATGCGGGCCTGCTAAGCTCACAAGTTTACATCATCGGAACTCAGTGATCATAGCTTTTTCTGCTAATCTCAGGCTCGGAGCAAACACAATGCTACTATGTGTGGCCACCAAGTCAGGCACTGTCGCACTGCTCAAGCGCTCAAGACTTTGTTGGCTCCCCGATGGTGAGCCTTTTGAACGCATGTTGAAACTGTCTACGACACTTATTGGCATGACTGTTTGAGCGAGGCCTAGGTTCAATGTGTTACACTTGATCGTATTCTAACACAGCGCGCTATGGAGTACAGATCCAGCCGCGCTTGAATTTTGCGACCACATAATAAACGAAGCCAGGTCCGATCTGTGGTACGCCGCATGTATGATGTATTGGCGTTCCAACCCTGGTGCCTTGCCAAGGATGTTATACAGTTCACTGCCTTTGTTAAAAACTCCTCTCACTTGAAAATCAACGCTTGATTTTTTGATATAAAGAGCAGAACGAACACGCTAGATGTAATTTCCACCATCACCATGTTGCGTCTGTTGTGTATCGCCCTGTCTCTTTTCTTATCCCTTCAGCTCGCTGTTGCAGACCCTGTCTCAACAGTCTTACGAGTTCCACGTCACTCCAAGTCATCGTCACTAGTACTGACCAAATCTGTACTATCAGCTCTCTTGGTTCGCCGAGGGAAGTTCACTGCTCGACAAGGATGCCCCAGCGGATATCGTAATGCATTCACGTGCCAAGTACTGAGAAACACATCGCTAACCCGCCCTAGAGCAATGCACCAACTACCCGGACGCATGTGCCCCTGTTGGCAGCTTCTGTGTAAGGTTGCATGATGAGCCTTTCTACTGCGATTAACGTTATGAGCCTAGTGCAACGATGTGTATAACTGTCCAGACGACACCACCGTACGTACCTTCGCGTTTTTAGACCCCATCGTCAAAACCGAGTACTGACCGACGAATGTTACAACCAGTGCTTCGAATCCGAGTGAGAAAATATTTCAATCAATTTTCTTTTCTTTTCTAAAATCTGCTGTAGATGTTGTCCCAATACCGCGCAAACATGTAATGGACATTCCTGCTGCAACCCTGGTAGCGAATGCTGCAACGACGACAGTTGTTGTGAATCCGGCTACTCCTGCTGCAATGACTCTACCGGGGGATGTGTGTTATATTCTCTATCGATTGCATGAGCAACGCTAACATCTATTCAGGCTGCCCTACTGGAACGACGTGTATAGCAGGTTCTGATCAATGTTCCACTGGAGGCCCAACTGGTGGAGGTGGAACCGGTGTACTCACTAGCGTTGCGGTTACTACTTCGTCCAAGTCAACCGTGCAGCCAAAAACCGCTTCTAGCAGCAGTCATACAAGTACAATCAACGAGCCCACAACAACTAAGTCTTCGAGTACTTCTTCGACAGCTTCATCCACAGGGTCTACTTCGAGTGGCTTCCGTAAGCAGCCTCTTGCTTCTAATCTGTGACCCAACTTACACCATACAATTTAGCACAAGTTGGTGCCGCTCCTCGTGGCATTGCACTCGTACCTGGAAAACAACTTGTGGTCTTGGCCGCAGTTGTTGGTTTGCCGATCCTCCATAATGTCGTCCAGGCGTTATGAATACGCAATAACACTTTTCTTCTTATAATCAGCATTTTTTTGAGGTTGTGATTCATGATATGTTCACTGTTTTTTACATACTAGGACTTGTAATACGATGTTTTGCCTTCAGATTGATCTAGTTGGTTCGCGATTGCGGGAGATCAGATCGATCAAGTGCCTCCCTCAGTAATCACGAGAAATCACTCATATTGAGCAGCGAAGCATATAGCGAAATGCAGGATAATTACAATGCCATCAAAGAGTCTTTTCAAATGGCCCTCGAGGTATAACATAATTAGCTGGCTCGAGCGCGCGGCTTTCTCGCGAAGAGTCCAGTCGGAAGCTGGATCGTTATTGAAGTACAAGTAGCTATGCACATGTCAAAGTGATGGGAGACTAATCACAGCATATAGACTTACTGTGCAATGCTAAAAAAAAAGGCTTTGTACCAAAATTCCGGAGTCACCTACGACGATGATTTGTCCATCAATGGTAATCCAACCTAAACAAAAAACATGTTGAACTCCAAGAAGCCTGCCCAGCATCGCCTATCCGTACTAGTCCATTACCGAATGTCCTCTAGCGCCCAACATGTCACGGTGACATTAACGTTAAACATTACCTGGCAAAATTCATACGAGTGGACACCGTAGACTCCGAAAAGAAGGATCTCCTCGCTGACAGGACCTCGCATGCCACTGACAGCAGGCATTTAGTTTGGTTTGGGCTGATGAGCAATAGCGAGCATTGCTCAGGCTGGTGATCAAAAACGAAGGATGCCATAGCGTCTCAACTTTTGCAGATATCACTATCAATTTCATTGAACTCGGACGGACGACCTCCATTTATCCACAGACGTGCTAGGTTGTTTGATCCGGACGAGTGCCCTGTTGTAGAAATTTATGAAACCTTAGTGGTCAGCGCTAGAGCTGAGCGCGAGTAAAGCTATGTCCAAGTCTCGTGATGCCTTCCATGGCTGTGTTTAATCTTTTTTTAGGGTCTAGACTTGACATGCCCGCTACTGGTTGCCGTGAGATGCTATAAACAATTTTTTATTAGCTGACTACTGTAACGCTACTTGAGGCCCGAGGCACTACGTACAGTAAGTCCCTCGTCAGCTCATTAACAAGATACGAAATATACCAATCCTAAGTTTGAATGAAGGTGTCGCAAATATCTAACCCGTGTCGGGTTTTGGATGCAATACGGTAAAGTTATAGCTTACATCATCATACTAATCATGGTTTTTTCCAATCTCGGATCAAACACAATGCTACTTGTGGGTCATCGGTCGACCGGTCAGGCACTGCTCAAGCGCTCAGTGCTATAGCCTGCAACGTATTTCGGCTCCTCTTTGGTGAGCCTTTTGAACGACTGTTGAAGCTGTACTCCGACACTCTTTAACATGACTGCTTGAGTGAGGCCTAGGTTCAATGCGTTATACTTTATCGTGTTCTAACACCATGCACTATGGAATACAGCTCCAGCCGCGCCTAAGTTTCGTGACCACATAATAAAATTAGTCAGGTCCGATCTGTGGTATGCCGCATGTTCATGTATCATGTATCAATGTTTTTAACCCTGGTGCCTTGCCCAGAATGTTATACAGGCTCACTGCCTTCGCTAAAGACTCATCTGACGTGAAAAGCTAACACCTGATTTTCCGATATAAAGAGCACGAACGACAGACGAACACATTAAGCCGCTGTAACTCCCACCACCATGCTGCATCTGCTGTGTATCGCTCTGTCTCTTTTCTTATCCCTTCAGCTCGCTGTCGCAGACCCTGCTTCCACAGTCTCACGAGTTCCACGTCACTCCAAGTCACCATCACTAGTACTGACCAAGTCTGTACTATCAGCTCTCTTGGTTCGGCGAGGGAAATTCACTGCTCGACAAGGATGCCCCAGCGGATATCGTAAGGAATCCACGTGCCAAGTACTGAGAAACACGTTGCTGACCCACCCTAGAGCAATGTACTAACTACCCGGACGCATGCGCCCCTGTTGGCAGCTTCTGTGTAAGGTTGCATGGCCAGCCTTTCCACTGTGATTAACGATTTGAGTCTAGTGCAGCGATTCGTATAACTGTCCAGACGGCACCACCGTACGTACCTTCGCGTCTGTTTAGATATCATGGTAAAAACTGAGTACTGACCAACGAACGTTACAACCAGTGCTTCGATTCCGAGTGAGAATATTTTAATAACTTTTCTTTTCTTTTCTAAAGTCTTGTAGATGTTGTCCCAGTACCGCACAAACGTGTAATGGAAATGCCTGCTGCAACCCTGGTAGTGAATGCTGCAACGGCGACAGCAGCTGCTGTGAATCCGGCTACTCCTGCTGCAATGACTCTACCGGGGGATGTGTGTTATATTCTCTATCCATCGCACGAGCAACGCTAACATCTATTTAGGCTGCCCTACTGGAACCACGTGCATAGCAGATTCTGATCAATGTTCCGCTGGAGGCTCAAGTTCCGTGGGTGGAAGCAGTGTACCCACTAGCATTACGGTTACTACTCCGTCTAAGTCCACTGTGCTGCCAGGAACCACTTCTAGCAGCAGTCCTGTAATTACATTCGACGGGCCCACAACAACTTCCAGCATTTCTTCCTCCACTTCTTCGACAGCTTCATCCGCAGGATCTACTTCCACTGGTTTGTGTAAGCAGTCTCTTGCTTCTAATCCGTGACCTAACTTATACCATACATTTAGCACAAGTTGGTGCTGCTCCTCGTGGCATTGCACTCGCACCTGGAAAACAACTTGTGGTCTTGGCCGCAGTTGTTGGTTTGCCGATCCTCCATAATGTCGTCCAGGCGTTGTGAACACGCAATAACACTTTTCTTCTTATAATCAGCATTTTTTGAGGTTGTGATTCATGATATGTTCACTTTTGTTACATACCAGGACTTGTAATACGACATTTTGCCTGCAAATTGATCTAGTTGGTTCGCGATTGCGGGAGATCAGATCGATCAAGTAGTGACTGAATGACTAGGAGGCCAGTCGTAGCAAAGGGTCGCCTCAGAAATCACTCACTTACATCAGATACGTTTGGATGATATTGCAAACCCATACCCGAGTTCAACGTTCAGGTATGAGATACGATTGGATGATACATTACAAACCGATTCCTCTAAAACAGTGCGAGTAGTGGTAATACATTTAGTGTGGGTTTTTGACTCTTGTAATACAGTGACGAAAATCGGGTGTCTGTAGTTTCCGTATTAAACATCATACTATCATTGCTTTGAGTAGTGACTTTATCAGATGGCAGCGTTCACTCACCCCAACAACCATCGAGGTGGGTATGGAGATGCCGGTGAACCCCGGTGTTTGCTCTGCTTCAATGGATTGAAAAGAGCCTACAGCAGTGCAATCATGTAACTTACCTGCGTCAACGATGATCCGAGGACGACGAATAGAATCCGCATGGAAGATATTGCAGATGATTCCAGGAGCGATCTGGAAAAAATCAATTCTCGCGTCAAACTCTAAGTATCTGCATTTACCTTTGAGAAGACATCCCAGGATAAAAGGCTGGATTACGATAAGTATATGAGCTAGATACAGTGAGAATCGGTAGACGCACCCAGTTTGCTTCGGAATGACAACAACTTGGCCATCAAGAGTGATACGCAGGACAGACTTTGAGGATGTTCAGACTCACGGAGAACCATGTTAATGCTTTGGGATGACTCACTTTGTCACCCGACATCATCTTTATCTAAAGTTAGTGCATGTTTCAAGTGAAAAGTTGGAGACGAACGTCGATGTCCAGATCTGAACATTTGGTTATCATACACTATCCATGCCGCAGACAATGCAAAGAGCTTACCGAGTGCTTTGCAGATATACCGCAGGACGGCTGGGCTCTGTTCTGACCATTCTCGACAACTAGAAGAAAATTTGGAGTAGTCTTCGTTTTGAGCATACATGTAGTATTTCACCACAGAAGCGATGACTGCGGAGAACAAGGCCGCAGAAGGGATGATTTCCTCGAACAAACACAATGCTATCTCCTCTATCGAAGCCTGTGGTGTGACTTTGAGAACCTCCGAGAGGAACGCTTCGCCTTTATGCGATGACACGTGGTTTGAAAACAGAAGATCGCATATACCATTGATTGAAATCTGATTCACCGATTGAGCAGCGAAGCATATAGCGAAATGTAGGATAATTACAATACCATCAGAGAGTCTTTTCAAATGGCCCTCAAGGTATAACATAATTAGCTGGGTAGAGCGCGTGGCTTTCTCGCGAAGGGTCCAGTCGGAAGCAGGATCGTTATTGAAGTACAAGTAGCTATGCATACGTCAGTGATGGGAGGGTAATCACAGCAGATAGACTTACTGTGCAATGTTAAAAAAAGCTTTGTACCAAAATTCTGGAGTCGCCTGCGACGATGATTTGTCCATCAATGGTAATCCGACCTGAACAAAAAAAGGTTAAACTCCAAGAAGCCTGTTGATGTATCAGAGAGCGGACCATGATGTCGCCCACCCAATAAACGGGAAGGAGGTTCAGGATTTCAAGTATGTCGACGTGCTTATCAACTTCGCGTCTCTTGAGTATCAGCTCACTTGTAAGGTGTGCGAAGTGTGAAGTAGACACGGTGTGTTCAGCAACTTTATCAGAGATAGACTTTCTGATCTGAAAAATGTGACGATGAGACCTAATAGATAACGGAGAGCTTAAAAGGGCCTTACTGCTTCGTTCCGTACCCTCGGAGGCGTGTGTAACTTCGAAAGTCGACACTCATAGACTCTAACAACGCTCGTATCAGTAGCTGCAAACGCAGTTTGTTGAACAGTCAAAGGCCTGTCCCACTCGTAAAGATGCCGGATTTCGGCACCACGCGGCACCTTGGTCATGCTCGAAGCAAGGAACTCTGGAGTCAGGAAAGGAAAGTGAGCGTAGACTGAACCCACGGGGTAGTGATCAGGGAGCATGCGAAAGAGAAGCTTGGTGAGCATGCCACCATAGGATCCATCCACCTTGTTGACCATGCAATGCTCGTAACCCCATGTTGTCAAGTTGAACGCTACCATGAGAAGCTCAGCATCGACGAAAAAAGATTTGGCTCAAGAATCAGTTGACTCACGAGTGAAGTCTACTGTAAGAAACCTGTCTCCACGAGTCAAGCATACGGCATCGGCGAGAATGGCACGTGAGATGGTGTATCCAGGGCAAAGGCCAGCGCCAGCAATTGGAGGCTTTGTTTCCTCAGCCTGCAGGCCCACCTGATGTGAATCAACAAATGCAAACCGTCCAAGGCTGTTGTCGAGGCTTACATGTAATTCTAGGTTTTCAATATCACCGTACAAGCGTTCGGCTGCGATCTATTGATGGTCAATATGCGGGTAATCATACAACGGGATTAATCCCTACATAAATCTCTGGATCGGGATTCCATTCACTGAAGCTCTTGTATGCTGAAAGCAAATTATAAGTCAATAAACTAACGGAGTGAAAACTACCTCACGTTTCAGGCCAATGAAGCGACGAAATTCGTTCAGCTAGGTTTCAATACTTAGTGTCACTACGACTTTTTGCAACCCATATTGGACTTACTGAACAAGCACCCCAAGCTCGTGCCTGTTCTATGCCCAAAATCTCCACAATTCGCATGGCGGCCGGAACACCCCTCGCACGAAAGGCACAAGCCCTGTCGGCCGTTGCATCCTGTAAAACACGGGCGATATTGGCGTCGCTGAATCGACCATCCTTTTCACGGGTGAGACTGTGACTCGTTAGCTGGCAATACATGACAAAGTGAACACTTCATACCCGCCAAATGTCCAACTACGAATGTTAGGTATTTGAGCACAATCCCTGTGAACAGCAGCCTTGAACTCTTCGACAGTGATCTAAGGAAACAAATATATCTTTTGAACACAGCATATAAGGAGGATACACATACAGTCGAAGGGTCTCTGTCAGGGAGAATGTTTTTGAAACTGTGTTCAATCCATGCTTCATCTTGACGCGACATCGCCGCATGCCAACGATAGAGCATGTTGAACTCCAGAGAAACAGCGTTTCCAGCTCCTCGTTGGGAAACGTCATGCGTCTGCTCACGAAACCCCTGAATGAAAGTCAAAATGGATAGTGAGTCTTACGAAGAATTCCGGACCTGAAGTGGATTCAATCGCCAAGTCAGTCCATCTCTGACAAGACCAAGAATGCCTCCAACGTAGTCCGTTAAGATGATCTGCATGAAAAAGGCTGCATTGACCAGTCGAGCACGGTGAAAGATCTCATTACACTGGGCAGTACGTTGGGCTTCTTGAAGACCCGCTGGGCGTGCAAATGTCCCTCGCTCGTTGAGGCTAAGGATCTTGCTTGCGATATACTGTTCGGTGAGTTAGCATCTCTCCTTTTACGCAGTAGAACAAAGACGGACATTGTGGTGACGACTGAATAAGACTGCAAGGGCACCCACAGAGGGGGGCATGAACAAGAGACGCTTGTCAGCAAATACATCCTCCCAAATGTGACCGGTTCCGTCCTTCTTGCGTATACTATCGACCTGCTCTTCGTTGTGTCCATATAGGATACTCAGGTCGAGGTAGCTGCTGGCATTGTTGATCGTCCAATCGTGGGAGTTCGTATCGAATATACTGTGAATGATGAGATCTGCAAATGCGAAGAACAGACTGGAGAGACCCCCAGGATGAGGGACGAAGTCATTCCGACCACGACGTAGAAGGGTATCAAATACCTCTCCTGGATCTGGTAATGGATGACGCGACGAAACATGCGTAGAAGGCACAGATCGCGCATATGGTTGGCCTGCTTGACCAAGGTTCGGCACGGACATCGAATAATTGGAGCCATCAGCACTGCGGAAGATATATGGCATGCCACTGGAGCTGGACAGAGGCGTCGTTAAAGGAGTCTTCAAGAAGCTGTAAGGTGGGTGAGGAAGGTCCTTATAAACTAAACGCGCCTGATCAGAACTGTACATATAACTTGTCGATACAGATATACGTACGGATATTAATCACGGAAATCTGAAGTTCTTTAGCGAAGACTGAGTCGTCTGGAAGGCGCGACATCAACATCAGAAGTTTTTCTAGCTAAGTTCCACAAAAAATAGCGTGAGTTTGCATCCAATAACAGACGACGCATACACCTACCAAAAACTCCCGGTCATCGATCCCTGACTTGAGGTTCTTCAGTGCATCAACATATGCTGGCTGATAGCAAATAGCTCGCATTCAGCTCAAGTTTCACAACGGGCGACGGCCTACTCACCAGGTCAGCCAGGGTAAAGGCGGGTCCTCGTGTAATCATTTGTTCAAAGTCTTCTACTGATTTGGTTCCTCCAAGGAACGCGAGAATGTCAACCTGGTCGGATATGTATGGAATGATATTGATCTTTGGTACAAGTGACGCTGCTGCTCGTTTCATCATGATGGTATGGATGTTGAAACTGAAAATTGGTTTAGTTGACTCAGAGGAAGGACGTGGTCAAGAAATGTGGTACTGATAAAGGCCCAGTACGACTGGCTATATATGCATCGGGTCTGAAAGGCATTCAGTAACAGATGTAAAAGGCCGCCAAAAGGAATTCCAGTGTCAAGCAATACTTAAATAATAAACATTACCCTTACAGCTGGGAGAGTCAAACTTTATAGAGCGCGAGGAGCCATTCATACGAATATGTGTTTGAAAGCCAGATCCGAAATTTGGGCTGCTGGCGGCCATGCTTGTATATCTAGTCACGGTAAGTACTGACTCGTCGGAGACACGCGATGGACGCAACGGCTGCGTCAATTGACCAGACGCTGCAGGACCACCAGGTCGAATTCTTCAAAATGTGTGGGTCGGGAATATATAAATATCAATGGCCGCGCTTGCATGTAGTTCTAGTTAAGGATTTGGTCCTTACACCCAGTGAAGAACGACAATATTTAGGTAGATATGTGTAGATATAAGTCGATAAAAATTTAAGTCATGATTCTTATCGATCTGTTTCGAGGTCTCTCGACAAAATGTCACTTTTCGAGACGTAAAAAGATACAGATCGAGACGAATTTCTAACGTTTAGATATAATTCTCGATGCCTTTAGGTGTTTAGATAGGCATTTACATACGGATTGTTGCTCGATTTGAATCAAAAATGTTATCGATACACAGCTAATGCAATCAAATGAGAATATCGAGGGGTATCGCTATTATTTGGGGGGTATCGCTAGGTATCGCTATCACTGGGGGTATCCACTGCGCGCTGCGCCGCCATCCGCCATCCCGTGTCACACTACTCCTCGTCCATGTCGTGAACGGTTCCAACAACCCCACATGACTTGAGCTATAAAATGAGACTGTTAGTGTAGTACACAATAGAGATTGGTGGGCCGAACTCACCTGAGCTGTTGCTTTGCACTTGTACACCTATAATAGTAGACTGTATTAGATAGATATCAATATAAGAAAAAAGACGCACCTCTTTGTCGGCTTTAGACAGCCCATTCCAGTAAGAGGTGAAGACACTTGCTGGTTCCTTTTGATGGCCGTTTGATTGCCAGTCGAGAGCACACAAGTTCCTGTATGATATGAATCATAGAATTAGTTTTGATTGGTATGATAATAAAAGAACAACTTACCGCGCAGTAATCTTTGCGTTCACCCGCATTGGCTTGGTACTCAGCTGGCACTTTTTGATGGTATCAGGCTATGCTATCGTGCACACATCCGCCAGGATCCCGCCACTAATCATCGTACTCATTCCCACTGTCCTTGCCTTGGAGCGTCGAAGAAGAGCTGATCTGTAGTAGTAGATTAGGCGGATGGGCAGCCTGGTGGTGAATGTAGTAGCCTATGTAGAGCAATAAAAAATGAAAAACGGACTTAGCGACTGAAAGTGTCGAAGGTGGAGAGAGCAGAGGCTCTGCATCTGGGAGACATGCCGTAGACCCTATCTAGAGGCTTGATGAAGCGGGACAGTGAAATTGATGAGGATCTTGTGAGGTTGTATTGGAAGTACGGAGTATCTAGGGAGGAGTCAGGACCACAAGGATCCAGGGAGGCGCTGAGGAGGAAGTAAGGAGTCTTTATCCCGGATATTCATACATCACATATCAGCGTCACGTGAAGTGTCCATTCGAAGTACTAAGTAAGAGAGGAGAATGTGTGTACTGTGTACTAGTAGTCTGTGGGAGATACAGTCGCGGGCTAACTTGAAACACAAGGAGATGATCGTATCGAGCCGGCGTCGTGGTGGGGACGAATGACAGGGTGAACGGCGGATGAGAAGATGCGCGAGGTTCAACCAGTACTTGTACTGACTCGTAATAAAGATAACAAAAATACATGGCTAAGTTATACACAAATACACACATGCATCTAGCGCTGCTGCCTGCATTGAACGTGTGCATATGCAAAGTTTGTGCAAAGTTTGCCGAAAGTTCGTTGCGTAGTTGCAACGTTGCAAACTACACGATCAAAGTCTGACAATGTTTGCATTTTTTTTACTTTGCGAAGATTCTTTGCGTTTTGCACGAAATTAGAGTTTTGCTGTCTCGATTTTCTTAGATTTGTATCTGCCTCAATTTGTGATTAGATATCTATCTACACGTATCTACCTCATTCTTGTCGATTTTCACTGGGCCTTACAGCTTACAGGCTTACAGCGTCGACGCGTCGGTGGCAGTGCACTTGAGTCCATGCATTCGCGTACTATGTATATTGCGTAATATCATCATGTGATTTCAAATAACTTGCTTTCTTACAACTCAGTACTCAGGCTCCATGAAATTGTTGACGGATCAGTGCATTGAATCACGGCTAGAAAGCTCGGGCAGGACAACCAAAAGAAGTGAAGCATGTCCTCGGCAGCTGGTACCAGCTGGCGCTCTCCTCATTTCACAATTGCTGTAGTGCCAGTGGGTCTCGTGTCTGCTAAGGCCTAAATTAAACCCCTGCCAGAAGCTTCCCTCATTCCAACACACCGCCATGGTCACCGACAGACTCTGGCGTACTCTTTCTGCCTTCAACCGATCCACCCGAAGCTGGGAACCCATACCTTTGCGAAACGTACAGAGCCAAGCGACACTGAGGTTTTCTCCCACATTACGGAGCATCGACACCTTTTGGACGCAGAGGTTTTCTCTCATATCATGGAACATCGACGCCTTCTCCCCGCGGCACGTCTCACGCGCCAAATTCATCCTCAGCCATATCCTCGAGGAATCGAAATCTCCTGATATCCTCTTTCTCCAAGAAGTCACGCCTGAGGTCCGGGCCTCTCTCCTAGATGATGCGAGAGTGCGCGCTGCCTTCCTGGTGACTGACGCCGAGGACCAAACGTCGTTTGAGGACGTGCCCTTTGCCACCATGACATTGCTGTCCAGCACGCGCTTTACCTCCGGGCTGGATTCGCAGAAGGAAGGCGATGGGATCGAGGGAGGGAAAAAATTCATGCTCGGGCGCGTCTCCCGCGTGATACTCCCGAGCAAGTACAGGAGGGATGCGCTTTGTGTGGACATCATCCCCCCAATATCGCCACGTACAGTCTTTCGTCTCATCAGCGTGCACCTCGACTCGCTCCGGGATACGCTACACTACCGCGCCCAGCAGATGGAGATACTGGCCAACGTCCTGCGCGAGCCCGGATGCAGTGGCGGGATCATTGCGGGCGACTTCAACGCCATCAGCCCCGAGGATGATGGGCTCGTCGACAAGAACGAACTGGTAGATGCGTGGGTCGCATTGCACGGGAGAGACCTTGATGGAGCTACGTGGGGTGTCGGCGTGGAACGGCGGGACGGAATAGGGCCGGGCAGGTTGGACAAGGTTGCAATGATGGGCTTACAGGCTAAGGAAATGGAAGTCCTCCGCCCTGGTACTATTGAGGTGCCCAGGCCGGGCGAGAAACCTGTCGAGATTCCTTGGAGTGACCATTGCGGGCTGAGATGCACCTTTACCATCTGAATACCATCAAACAGGTTTAGGCTAGCACCCTCGACGAGGAGTAATTACCAAATTTGTCATAGATGTAGAGCGAAGACGCCGGAGCAACTGCGTTTTTCTTTTTAAACGTCGAATGCTATGTATCCTATTCTATAATTCATCTCTTTTGATTGTGTGCGTTTATAGTTGGTTTATAGTCCTAGTAAGTCGTTAAGACCTGCATCCATTCCTTCGTCCTTTGCTCCGTTATTACTCTTACTGTCGGACATTACCGATATGGAGAATCAGAGACCAAAGAGTCTTAGGGTGCGGTAAAATTAACCGGTCAGTTAGTATTAACTGGGTCATGAACGCATGGGATGATCTTACGCGACAAGTCAAGTCTACCGCAAGTGGTACCTTGTTAAGTAGTAAGTGTTAATTAGGGATAACTCCAGATAGCTGAAGCCACAGCCACGACGTCTCTCATATCTTGTATATCATGGACTCTCACAACGCTTGCGCCCTGTTGAATAGCACAAGCCACGGTCGCTGCCGTTCCCCACTCTCGTTCTTTCGGCTCAGTCTTTCTCCCTTTGTATGTCCCATCCGCATCCGGGCGTTCTAAAATTGCACCGAGAAATGACTTCCGGGACGATCCAATGAGTCGCGGATATCCTGCGAGTGGGTTCGCGGGAGTGTTCGCTGTCACCGAAGAAGCTTCGCGAAGTAGTGCACAGTTTGCTTCAACAGTTTTGCTGAAACCGATACCAGGGTCGACGATAACGAACCACCTCCGCACACCGCCTTTGCCCTTAATAATTGCTTCCACTTTCTCTCCCAGCTCAACCCGCACACCTTCTAGAACTCGGCCCGTGTACTGGCTGTAGTCTTTGTTTGAGCCTGCATCACCGCGTGAATGCATTAAGATGACAGGAACAGCGAGTTTTCGGGCTACCTCTCGCATTTTTAAGAGGTGCTTTTCTGAGGATTGCGCAAGGGGGTACTCAGGACCCGTGAAGGAATACACATCATTGATGCAGTTTGCGCCAGCCAGGACAGCAGCTTCCGCGACCTCCCAACGGAATGTATCGATTGAGATAAGAGCGGAACTGACGTCCTGATCTTCATGTGACCGTATGGCCTGAATGACGGGCACTACACGTTGACACTCCTCTTCTGGTGAGACAAATGCTGCTCCCGGACGAGTTGAATAACCCCCGATATCAATGATATCGGCACCTGCTCGTACGGATGCCGCAGAGTAAGTCAGAGCAGCTGATAATGTATTATTAACAGAACCATCCGAGAATGAATCTGGAGTGGCATTCAAGGTGGCCATCAGCCTCACTTTCGTCGGTCGTTGGATGTCACTTGAACAATGGGTGGTCCAGTACCTTCCCATAGAGGGCACCTGATAGGTGCCCAGAAGCTGTCGTGTTTCGGTGATCGGATAATCGGCGAAAGGGGTGACTTTAAGCATTGGGAAATCGACGTTCGACTGCCTAATAACGTCACCCAGAAGTGTGCGTATTGATTTCTTATGAACTGGATGCACGAATTCTGGGATCATGCTAATTTTGCAAATTTAGTTGTCGACAATAACTAAAGCTGTTACACACACTCAGCTAGAGGACGCAAAACAAACTCTCGTTCTGCCATGCGTGGATGCGGTACGACAAGTTCATTGGCCAGACCATCGAGGGTATCTCTCAGGCTTTCAGCACGAGTATCAATGATCTCGTTATCGTACAGTATTATATCCAAGTCAACCGCACGAGGTCCATTCTGGATAGAAGGCACCCTCCCCACTGTCGTTTCAATTCTTTTAAGTAATTTCAATAATATCCACGGCTCCATGTTTGTCTCGACCTAAAGGCCCTCAACTAAGTAACAGACCTGTGGCCATCAGTTCTTGAATGGACGAACTCACTAAGCACGCACAATTCGCAAATCTTGGCTGGTCTGTGACATACATGGGCGCAGTTTCGTACATGAAGCTCGTGTCAGCGACCGATACGGTGTTAGCAGCCACATCGGTCAACAGCTGATCAGGTTGCTCAATCAAGCGCAAAGCAGTTTCAATGTTGGCGAATCGATCGCCAAGATTCGAGCCTAGTGCGATTGCCACGCTGTGCTTCGCTGATGAAGGATAAACATTCCGAATTACGGACGTTAAGGGACCAGTCATAAATAAAAGATTCTGAAGGAAGTGGTGTATGAGAATGAGTACCTGTGGCGGGAATTGATCATTATTTATGATTATGTAACCCTGATGAGAGAACTTTGAGAACCACGACGTCGAGGTTGTACTTGTACTATTTTTCTCCGGGCCTGCAAACATGACAATGCCAAAGGATAACCCATACCTTGCCCATCGACATCCCACTGAGCGAGCTATTTCAAGCGCAAGCACTCTCAACGGTGCCAGCCCCTCCTCAAGAGAGCCTCTCTATGGTTTTGTTCCTCGGATGGTCAATGCAGATCAGGTCGGACAGGCATTGGTATGTCCTTTCAATAGTTAGCATCGATGCCGGCTAGCTGACTCGGTAATCTGCTTAGGAACATGATTTAAACCCGTTCACAAAGCAGCCCCATACTGCACAATACAAAAAGATTCTGGAAGCTCGCAAAAAGCTTCCTGTGTTTGCACAGATGACTGAGTTCTATAAAATAGTAAGCTCCTCTTCTTATCCCACCCCATTCACCCCGACTTACGTTCGCAGTTCAACAAACACCAAATCATTGTCATGGTCGGTGAGACCGGCTCAGGCAAGACCACGCAGTAAGTTGGTACCCCCAAGACAAATATTCTCCCTTGTCATTTTTGAACAGTCGCTTATAGACTCTTTTTGTCACTGATAGAATACCCCAGTTCGTCGCCTACTCTGATCTTCCCCATACCAAGAACAAAATGGTAGCATGTACTCAGCCCCGCAGAGTCGCTGCCATGTCTGTGGCTAAGCGTGTAGCGGATGAGATGGACGGTTCGTCTCTTTTACTTCGTGTATTGACCGCATTCTGAGCTCTTTCCGTCCCCTAGTCCCACTTGGTCGACAGGTCGGTTATTCAATACGTTTCGAAGATATGACCGAGCCTGGCACCACCTTTCTCAAATACATGACCGATGGAATGCTCCTCCGTGAGGCCATGAACGACCCTGATCTCAACCGTTACTCCACTATTATCCTCGACGAAGCCCACGAACGTACCCTCGCTACCGATATCCTTATGGGCATCCTTAAATCCCTCGCCCAACGCCGTTCAGACCTCAAACTCATCATTATGTCTGCCACTCTAGATGCACTCAAGTTCCAGAAGTACTTCGCTGTCTCTGGCGGCACTCCCGCCCCGCTCTTCAAGGTCCCAGGTCGTACTCACCCTGTCGAGGTGTTTTACACCCAGGAACCGGAGCCGGACTATGTCGAGGCTGCCATCCGCACGGTGCTCATGATTCATCGCGCCGAGGAGCCAGGTGATATCCTATTGTTCCTGACGGGTGAGGAGGAGATAGAGGATGCGTGTCGGAAGATCAAGCTCGAGGCGGACGACCTCATCAACTCCGACCCCGAGTCTGTAGGCCCTCTTATATGCATCCCACTGTATTCGTCGCTACCGCCGCAACAGCAACAACGCATCTTCGACCCGCCACCGAAAGCAGGCAGTCCGGACGGTCCCCCAGGACGCAAGGTTGTAATCAGCACGAATATAGCGGAGACATCGCTGACGATCGATGGGATCGTATATGTCGTCGACCCAGGATTTTCTAAGCAAAAGGTGTATAACCCGCGCATTCGTGTGGAGAGCTTACTCGTGAGTCCGATTTCCAAGGCGTCAGCACAGCAGCGTGCAGGCCGGGCCGGCAGAACGAGGCCAGGCAAATGCTTTAGGTTATACACGGAGAAGGACTTTATGTCGGAGCTCGAGGAACAGACTCACCCAGAAATTTTGAGGAGTAATTTGGCGAATACGGTGCTGGAGCTTGTCAAGGCGGGGATTAAGGTGAGTGTGACGTGAGAGGATGGTTTCAGATGGGCTGATACGTGTGTAGGATCTTGTCAAGTTTGATTATGTGGATGCGCCAGCACCAGAGACGCTAATGAGAGCACTGGAACTGTTAAATTACCTCGCTGCGCTGGACGATGATGGGAACCTCACGGCATTGGGGAGTATCATGGCTGAATTCCCTCTGGATCCACAGGTAGGCGATTTTTCTGGTGGTGGGGTTCTTCACAGTTCTGACGCACATTCCTAGCTCTCGAAGATGTTGATCGCTAGCCCAGAATTCAAGTGTAGCAACGAGATCTTGACGATCACCGCAATGTTGTCAGGTGCGCACTCAGCCTTAATGTTTACTCTCATCTGACGCTCTTGCAGTACCAAATGTGTGGCTGCGGCCGAATAACCAGCGAAAAGAGGCAGATATTGCAAAGGCGCAGCTGACCGTTCCTGACGGTGACCATTTAACACTTCTCAACGTGTACAACAACTACATCCAAAGCAAGTTATTCTCTTTTATACACACACATATTCACTCACATCTGCCCCCAGATCAATACGACAAAAACTGGACATGGAACAACTACCTCTCCGCTCGGGCGCTGATGCAAGCAGACAACGTACGCGAGCAGTTGAAACGAACGATGGAGCGGTTTGAGGTGGAGCTCATCAGCGTGCAAGATCAGAAGAAGATGTTTATGGCGATTAGGCAGTCGCTGTGTTGTGGGTTTTTCATGCAAGTCGCGCATAAAGAGGGAGATAAAGGGAACTATATGACTGTGAAAGATAACCAGGTGCGTTATGATTGTTTTGGGTAGTTTGCCATGCTGATGGTTTTTATTTTGTGGTAGGCCGTAGCACTACATCCATCTTGCGGGCTGGACACGCAGCCAGAGTGGGTGATTTTCAATGAGTTCGTGCTCACAACGAGACCTTATATACGGACTGTTACGGATGTGCGACCAGAATGGTACGTTCTTAAGCATCTTCTCTGTGGATTTGCATCGACGTTTCGACAGGCTTCTCGATTACGCGTCTTCGTATTATGATCTAGACAATTGGCTAGACAGCGAGGCGAAGCGTGCGTTGCTGAGAAGTAAGAAAAAGCAGGCGGGAAAGTTCGAGGCGCGGTTCGACCAGGTGGAGACGTCAAAGGAGGGAGGGGGTTCGGCGAAGAAGAGGAAGAGGAAGCAAGGGTAGGATAGGCACCACAGGGTTCGCTTTCGCGTGTTATGCGTGCTCTTGTTATTTTCTTCGATCTAGAATATATATGCCCTACCTCTGAAGCTTAAAGCTTATCAACACGAAAGGGCAGCTGTAAGTATCAGCTCCCCGGTTTAGCATATTCCAACTGTGTTTGGACAAATATTGCAATAGACTGTATGTATTCTGCCGGACAGTAACTTGATATTTACTTGACATTCAAGAATGGATGTATTTCTATCATGTCTAGGACAAACTGTTGGCTGGTGCACGAATCTGGAGTGTGATGACGCTCATGTGTAGAACTTCCTGTTCTCATTCGGCCCAAACAAATCTCTTCTAATCTCGGGGAGCATCTACAAAAAGTATGTTAGACGAGAATGAACCCAACATTTAGTGTGACCTACCTTGTCCTCTAGAAGTCTCAGTCGCTCGTCCAATGTGTTGTCGATGGTAATTCGTCGCGAGCTACTCACAAGTTTGACACCACCCGCACTAAAATGGATTTGTTGAAAGAATGGCGTCCCAGGAAATTCGATCGACTTACCAATCTTTACTCAGAGTCGTCTCCAACTCAAAAGACACATCGCGCCCGCTGATCTGAGCATATGAATCTACGGCTGCTTCTCCTGCCTTTTGCGCGATATCGACATCCTGTTCGCGAACATGCAACACGACGTTTGTCTCCATAAGCTGGAGAAAGCCTTGCACGACGGCGCCTTCGAGGAACTGAGAGTAACGCCCCTCGTCTTCGGCGAATGTCAGAATCGATGTCCGAGAGATGGAGAATAGTTCCTGTAGTTGCTCCTCACGACGCTGTAAAAGCTTCAATCGCGATTTGTTGGTCAAGTTAGACTGTGCACTGAATGACACTAGGCGATCAGTATGTCATTCAAATATCAGGCAAGTGGATTAACATACATCTTCTGTGCGACTTCAGCACCCTTGCGCTTCTTCTCAAATTGTGCATCAATAGCCTGTTGTTCTTGCTTCACGAGTTTTGCCTTTCAAGATAGACACACATTGCGTATGAAGGACTATGAAGTGGAGCAACGCTACGTACCTTCTCGATAGCAAACTCCTCGTCCGCTTTCACTTTAATCTCGCGTGCTTTCTCCAGAGCCTCCTGCTTGATGAAAGCAACCTACATGCACGAGCTATGATGTTAGATACCGCTTATATTTCAACCGAGGAGGGGTAGGGCATCGGCATCATATACGCGAGACTATGCGCAGACGTACCATCTTATTCATCTCACTCAGGACTTCCTCATCGTTCATCGGTCGTGGAGGCATCTTGGAAGTATGAACTTATAGGATGGACCGCGCTGACTGGAAAGTGACAGAGCTGCGTACTAGTACTCTGAAGTCTGGTCGCAAGCCAAGGTAATTCGCCGCCTAATGAGGAAAGCCGACTTTGTTGCGGCAAAATCCGCAAACCCAAAAGTTTCTATCTTGCTCACCGTCAAAGGCGTCCTTGAAGCAGAAAAAACCATGGCTCATCAACGCGTTGCACTGTGGGCTGCCGAGCCAGATCTTGACGATGACATCAACGATACAGATGTCGACATCCCTATTCCGATGCCCTCGTCAACTAATGAAATGTACGATGACCCAAAGCTTCAGCTCGACGAAGGCTCCTTGCAAGCAATGCAACAGCACATCGCGCAACAAGCTGCATTTGCACAAATTCCAGACGTCGTAAAGCGCGTGAGTAATCTATCGACTAGTCTATGATCTTATGTTCAGTAACTCGTAGTTTATTGTCCATTTTCACCAAGCTGTCTTGGACAATAACCTCCAGGAGGTAACTCTCGCCTACGAGTCAGGCTGGACTCGCCTCACCGAGAAATACTACGCAAAAACGGAGTGGCCAGAAGCAGAAACCATTGCACCATTGGTCAACGATGATCAAATCTTCCTCATCTTGTATCGTGAACTGTACTACCGACACGTGTACTCAAGACTTCAACCCAACGTAGATGACCGGTTCCACTCATATGAGAATAGCTGCGAGCTCTTCAACTACCTCCTTAGTACGTGCATAAATTGCATTTCGATCGATTACTCTTTTGATGAGATTTGGTAGACTCCGACGGTCCCGTGCCTTTATCCCTCCCTGCAAACTGGTTGTGGGACATTATTGACGAGTTCATCTACCAGTTCCAATCATTTGCTCTTTTCCGCTCGCGTCCTGCGTCAAAAACCGATGATGAACTAACCATGCTTGGCTCAGAAGGCGGTGCCCAAGCTTGGAGTTCGTATTCCGTGCTTAATGTCTTGTATTCCCTTATCCAAAAGAGCCGCGCGAATGAATGGCTCAAAGCACGTGCAGAGGGGAAAAGCGATGAGGAAATAGAGTAGGCCAATTCACTTTAAAGTCTGCTTGAATTGACCAATTCTTCTGTTAGAGAAATAGTTGGTGAATACGGAACGAAGCCTCTGTATCGCATGCTTGGATATTTCTCTATCATCGGCCTTCTGCGCGTGCATGTTCTCCTTGGTGATTTCACGCTTGCCTTGAAGGTCATGGAAAACGTCGGACTCGGTCAAAAGGCTCCCTTCACCGCGCCTACGGCTGTACATGTCTCTACTGCCTATCATGCTGGTGTATGTTACTTTATGCTGCGAAGAATTCCTGATGCAGCTCGCGTTTTCACTGGCGTTCTTACCTGGGTGATGCGTGCGCGGCAATATCACACTCGCAGTTACCAATATGATCAGGTGCGTGCTCTCATGTGTTTATGTTTTTCGCTGTTTATGCTTACTCTTTGTTAGATCAACAAAACGGCAGATCGGATGTATGCTCTGCTGGCACTTTGCCACGTGCTTGCGCCGACCAGGCTTGACGACAACGTAATGAATATTGTGCGCGAACGATATGGCGACCAAATTGGGCGTATGGGTCGAGGGTATGTGTCTGACACCACCATCCAAGTGCGGTCACTCAATTTTTTTAAAATCATTTAGCGAGGAAGGTCTGTCAACATTTGAAGAGCTATTCTTGTATGCCTGTCCCAAATTCATCTGTGCCAACTCCCCACCATATGATGACCCTACCGCCCTCGCTTCAATGCTCATCCCACCAACGCCAACCTCTCCATCCTCGCAGAACCCTAGCGTAGTCCTTGGTGATCCGACCCAGCGGCACCTCCGGGCCGCGTCGTCTCACTTCATGTCGCTTACACCGGTCTCAAGCCTTAAGAGTCTCCTGAAGCTCTACACGAGTCTTGATGCAAAGAAGCTCACTGGCTTCCTGGATACATCGGGTGCCGGTGTAGACGAAGAGGAGGTACTGAGTTGGATGATGGTCATGAAAAACGCCGGACGGTGTGTTGGACGCGTGAATACTGGTAGTACTGCCGCGAATGGCGAGAAGGACAATGATGAAGGATCAAGACCTTCTGAGAGTTTACTCAGTGGCGAGTGGATGTCCATAAGCGACTTGAACTTCGTGATAGACCAGGTTCGTTCTCTTCATCCCATTTAGTTCGGAGAGCTCACAATTATTGTCTAGAACATGGTCCACATCGCTGAGTCAACAGTTGGCCGGCGGTATGCAGGGTGGTTCATCCGTAATTCGGAGCATGCAGCGCGTGTGCTTGACAGTGTCAAAGCATCACCATTACCACCACGTATAATCCCTACTCAGGTTCAGAAAAAGAGTGCTGATGGGCCAAAAGGAGAAGGTGCACCGAGGACAACTGGACAGAAGGTTGCATGGGGTGGGGTCAAAGTTGCATAGTAGACTGTGTTATGTACTTGCTATGAATCTATGGATTATTTGCAATATTGAATAATTACAAGAACGGCTGGTGCACTCTGCGGTCATACGAACGAAACACAAAAAGAGGATACGCGTTGCATTAAGAGGGAATCGAACCCCCGGCGGGTCGATGGCAACGACCCAGGTTACCACTACCCCATTAATGCGATGTCGATCTTGCTCGTGATTCTCACTGTGATGGATCCAGCTAAAAATAGCACACTCTCCCATCATTGTAACCTTCTTGTGACTTTTCACATGATAGATCTCCAAACATTGTACGTACTACGTAGTAGGGCCACATAAATAGATGGTTTTACTGGTCGCGCCTTCCAAAAGAGTCGTCCGCTAAGCGCTTCTAGTGTGCACTGTGCTTGCCCTTAGTCTCATGCGCTTTGCCCTCTAGCTTTCATATCAGAATTGCGAAGGAAGAACCTCAGCTGTCCATTCACTTCGCAACCTAAAATATGGAAGTCTTTCAGGTCCTTGGAAAATCCCTCTCAGCCCATCTCCTCCAAGTTTCTACGACTCTCCTCCCATACTCAATCCAAGGACCCTTGCTGAGCGCTTTGGGCATTGTGACGTATGTTTCTTTGATACCTTCTGCGCCTCCTAGCTTTCCGAGTTCTGGTAATGGTCTCTGGTATACCGCACCTGGGACGATATGGGTTCAAGAATTTTTACCCATCGGCAATGGGTACTTGGGTGGTGAGTGATTGTTGCTGATAGTCACTGATCACTAAGTGATATTCAAATGTGCATAGCGATGTTACCTGGCGGTACTAACCAAGAAGCCACACAACTAAACATCGAGTCCCTGTGGTCGGGAGGTCCCTTCCAGGATCCCGTGCGTGTCACACTTTGAAGCCTTCCGATGTACAAGGTCTCAACGTACTAATCCTTCATATAGTCGTACAATGGGGGCAATCACTTGCCTTTCAAGCAGTCTCAAATAGCCGTGAAAATGCAGAACATTCGCGAAGCTATTTTTTCTAGTCCTACAGGGACAATTGACAGTGTGTATCCAAGTTTTTGGTGTAGTCACGCAGCTTTCCTCATTCTGCCATGAAGATATCGACGAGATCATGACACCCGGTGACACATATGGTAGGTGGACACAGCGAATTGTCGCACGTCCGCTATCTATACTCACTGTGTTCCATGGGTGGCCCGTGCATTTTCCAAAGGTTCATACGCCAGCGCGGGATACTTGATAGCAACATTGGATTCAACTAGCTCAGTTTCGAAGTATGCAAGGTGGTTGGACCTAGACGAAGCAGTGTCTCGTACTACCTGGTCTGATGGAAGCACAACTTTTCTTCGGTTTGTCCTTCCTTGCCCGTGTCAAGAGCCTGTCTGACCACATGCTTAGAGAATCCTTCTGCTCCCACCCTCTTCAAGCATGTGTGCAATACCTGAACAGCACGACTTCTCACGTCCTCCCATCTGTGACCTATGCCTACACCGTTGCCGGGGTCGATGGCCTCCCGGCTCCGAATGTTACCTGCTTGGATGACAGAACACTGAGTATTAGGAACTACGTCTCCATCCCTGGTATGCTTTATGAGATTCTTGCGCAGGCGCAGGCACCCAGCGGGCTGGTCTCGTGTTCTGCGGTATCTGGGGCATCCCCACCTAATGCTACTTTGACCGTCCTTGGTGCATCTGAGACGTGGATCAGTTGGGTCGGAGGAACGAACTATGATATGGCTGCCGGAAACGCAGCTGCCGACTATTCCTTTCAAGGACCAGATCCACACAACAATCTCGTCGCGTTGCTTTCGTCTACCAATCGTACATCTTACGCTGAGATGCTGAATGGGCATATCAAAGACTATACTTCCCTCGTTTCTCCCTTCTCGCTTTCCTTGGGACAAACTCCGGATTTCAATACCCCCACTGATCAAATTCTTGCTAGATACCGTACTTCTGTTGGAGACACTTACTTGGAATGGCTTCTATTCAACTATGGAAGATACCTCCTAGCCAGCAGCGCTAGAGGCGCCCTTCCCGCAAATCTACAGGGTTTATGGGCTGATGGGTATTCAAACCCTTGGGGCGCTGGTGACTGATTTGATGCATAGGTTAACCGCAATTCTGACCAACTAATAACAGATTATCGTAAGCACCTTACCTCCATAGAAGAAAGTATCCTTATTTCACGACTAGATTCCAATATCAACATCCAAATGAACTATTGGGCCGCCGAGATGTCTAATCTAGATGTGACTCAGTCACTCTTTGACTATATTGAGGTAATCGGCTTTCTAATGTGCCTGACACTTGACTGAAGCTGACCCCTTTTTTTCTGCAGAATACGTGGGGACCTCGCGGAGCGTACACTGCTCAGGTTCTGTACAACATTAGCGAGGGATTTGTGACACACGGTGAAATGAATGTGCGTTTGCAGAGGATTGGTTGTAGAATTGAATGCATGAACTTTTCCAACAGATCTTTGGCCATACTGGTATGAAGCTTGGCGGGAACTCTGCTCAATGGGCCAATTATCCAGGTACAATGATCTTTCTTAGTTTTCTTATTGAGTGAATGCCCATGTTTATGTCCTCAGAATCCAATGCTTGGATGGTACGTATTCTCTGTTGGGTCTGGAGCGGGCTTAATTGATTTCATCATAGATGATACATGCATGGGATCATTTTGATCACACCAATGATGTACAATGGTGGAAGACACAAGGATGGCCGCTCGTCAAGGTGCTCCACTATGGGACTTTTGGAAGCTACGTTTAGCTGAATTTTGTACAGGCTGTTGCCAGCTTTCATCTAGAGAAGCTCATCGAGGATTTGCACTTCAACGATTCGACTCTTGTTACCGCACCTTGCAATTCACCAGAGCAAGTCCCTATTACTCTTGGTCAGATAGACTATGAAAACTTTTGATCATTGCTTACCATCGGCCAGGTTGCGCACATGCTCAGCAGCTGATATGGCAGCTCTTCAATATAATCGAGAACGGTTTCGAGGCAGCTGGTGATACCGACACTGCATTTCTAGATGGTGCGAGACTGTCCACCGCTCGTCTTGCCCCTTGCTCATGGTATGCACAGCGGTTATTTCCAAACGGCAGCAGATGGATAAAGGGCTGCGTATCGGACGGTGGGGTCAACTGCAAGGTTGCTGTCTTGTCCCCTGTGTATGCGCGATATATTGACACTATATTTAGAGTGGAAAGTCGACATGGATATGCCGGACGACACTCACAGGCATCTTAGTCATCTGATTGGCGTAGGCGCTTGTTTCACTCGTATATTATCTCGAGCTCACAGCCTTCACCAGTTATACCCCGGTTATGCGATAGCATCGTATTCCCCTGAGTTACAAGGTGGTCTAATTGTCAACGGGACTTTCACGCGCTATACCAAAGAAGAAATTTTGAACGCTGCGGAAACCAGTCTGTTCCATAGAGGTATCGGAAGAGGCCCTGATGCGGATGCAGGATGGGAGAAAGTTTGGAGGGCTGCGGCGTGGGCGCAGCTTGCCAACGAGACTGAATTTTACAAAGAACTTACTGTAAGAACTGGCGGTTATATCATGCCGCCAATGCTAATCCAGTGCAGCACACCATCGAGAGAAATTTTGCGCCCAACCTCTTTTCCATGTACACGTCTGATGGAATTTTCCAGATCGATGCGAATTTGGGGTATCCTGCTGCTGTTTTGGTAAGATATTGAAGTCATTTTGTGTAGGAAATCTGTATCTGAACCTTGAATTCGAACCGATAGAATGCACTGCTACAAGCCCCTGATATCGCGAATATCAACGTTCCACTCCAGGTTACACTTCTACCTGCTCTCCCTCTCACATGGTCGACTGGCGAAATGAAGGGCGCGCGCATACGTGGGGGGATCACCCTCGACTTTGCGTGGAATGATGGCAGGCTAACGACTAGCAACCTTTACCGTGGATCAGAATGTTGCAGGTAGGGAGAGAGATGTGATAGTGAAGTATGGTGGACGGGTTGTAGCACAGTTCAGGAGCAATGGGGGATACAGCCAAACCGTCTCTTCATTCTAAGAAACAAAGTGGACAGAAATTTTGAATTCCTAACCATGTACTATGATTACAATGACATACGTCATTAGGCGCTTCATCGCATTAATGGGGTAGTGGTAACCTGGGTCGTTGCCATCGACCCGCCGGGGGTTCGATTCCCTCTTAATGCATCCGGAATTGGTGGAGTTCAATTCTATTTTTACATAAACGTTTTTTCACTGAGTACTTGTTCAATCGGTACATTATCCATCAGAAGCTCATGCACATGCTCAATATTTGCAGTTAGCACTTGTTCTATGGCTCCGCGCATCGTGTCAAGCAAGAACTATCTGACACAGCTGATTCTACACAACGGTCACTCCCCAGCATCAGCCGGAATCCTGCAGCCTGAGGTTATATCACTTGGCTGTCCAGAATCCATTTATCAGTATTCATGTGGGTTCACTGATCAGTCTCTACTGCGTTCGCCTCCTCAGCATGAGCACAGAACCATGCTGCATGTGCATCTGGTGTTAACTTGCATCATATTTCCCAGCGTACGAAGATGGCGCGAAGAAGGATTGTCTGCAGTGGCATCGTGACTAGTACCAAGCCTTTGGAACACAGTCGACCGTGTGGTGCGGGTCAGGTTTTCCGTGGTACGCATACAATTGCTGCATTTGCGCCCAATGGTAAAACGGTCGAGTATAACCCCAAAAATGTAATTTATCTTCCAAATCTACATATTCATCGGCTGACTCTCTGTTGTGTATGATAGGTCAGCCATACCAAGAACATTAAAATCGGTGTGTCTAGCGAACTCGCCGTCTCCTTTTTCACATTAACTCTGGTTGTTGTCAGAGTTCCCACTGAATGGCACCAACTACGACATTAGTCCAAGTCGGAGTAACGAGAGAGCTAATACAAGAGACAAGTTAATCCGCAAAGTTAGACATGCCATCCAATACAAATATGGACCGGGATACGACGTGCAGCCCTATGGAAGCTCAGTGTATATGGCGATGCCAGTCCTGCCAAGAATAGGACATGGAGACCTGGATCTTGCTGTGCTTGTGAGTTGTAACTTATTAGCAGTTAACTAGCCACTCATATTCTTGTTAATTGCTGGTAGGATACCAATTGGCCACAAGGTTTTTCTCCGGAGATAGACATGAAACATCTACCTCGTACGTTCGATTCGTACAACTGAGGTATCAATAATCCTAACATATAAAAGCCATCTATAATATTAGGTAACATTACTACACTTCACGAGCCAATGCCAACGGAGCTGATCAAACGACAGAAAACTTGCTCGGACAATGCGACATGCAGGCTTTACTGACGTTGAAGCAGTTCCCTGGGCCCAGGTTCCCATTGGTTCGTCACCACGAATTGGGAAGGTTGTTTCAGGGCTCCTCACTCTCCATCTCGATTTCCAGTAAAGTTCACTGACCCTGCATCTGGGCTTCACATCGACGTAAATGTAAACGAGAGGCTGGGATTGATGAACACTGACCTTATCAAGACATACTGCGATATGGTGCCCAACCTTCGTTGTTTAATATCTGCCATCAAACAATGGGCTCGTCCACGGGCCCTCAATCAGCCCTCTATCTCCGAAGCAATCCGAACTTTCAATTCCTATGCATTGGTGCTTATGACGATTGGATGGCTCCAGGTGCGGTCTGTATTACGTCGACTGGATCATTGAAACCTTAATGTCTAAGAGACTCGGGACTTGGCGCCGAAACTACAAGCTGGCCTTCAGCCAATGGAATCCAACGAGTACCTTTTTTGGATGCGGCCATCAAACTCATTCAAGCGGATACCTTGTGACACACGATATCGCAAGCCCACGACGTGGGCAGCACCACACATTGATGCCCTGGACAACCTCGTAGAGCAATGGTTCGGGTGAGGGACGGCTGGGGGCATCCATCTTGTAACTGAGACTTTATGGCTCAGGTTCTGGGCTCAATTTCAATTTTCGCGCCATGTGATAGACATCAAGCGGGGAGGCATTTTCCCCCGCATTCCGCATTTCGAAGAAGCTGCACAACCTGACTATGACTCCCGAGGCCCTCGATCCGAACTCCACAATAGTTGGTCAACGTTTCTCGGTCCGGATGTGGATTCGAGAACAATGTTAGAAAGTTATCCCATTTCTGTCGTAGATCCGTTCATTCGATCAAAAGTACGTATGTGTGGAAAGAGATGCCTTTCCTCCTCTGACCTATATCGCCTCAGAACGTCACCAGGGGCATTAACGCTCAAGCATTGCACATGTTCCAGGCCGAGTGCGCGAGTGCTGTCGAGCTACTGAATCTCGGCACTGACATGACGAACATCATTGATGGATTTGACATGCTCAAGCAGGATTATAATGGACATCGGACAGCCAGGCTACGGCAGACTCGAAGGGACCCTCACGGCCAGTCCGCAACGGTCCTGAAAGCAGAGGAGGTCGACGCTATTCCTGACTGGAGCCTTGTTTCACGACAATCACCTGAATCAATTGATGTTCTACGATACAGGGACTTGAAACGTGATGACCTATCTGCTGATGGACGGATCTTGTCAGACACCCTCGAATCGTCTCATATACCAAATGAGCAAATCAGGGACAACGAAGAAGGCTTTGGGCTAAAGCCGTCTTACTTTCATAAGATTCGTCGTGTATAGAGTATCCATGTTTGTTGTCCGAGGATCATACGTATTTGCCTTTAAAAGTCATTGCAGTTGAATGGTACTTCTTACTGTTACGACACATGGTATATATACCCACATTACCTCATGGCGTGGGGCAGTGTCATGATGATCAACATCGGGCACCCGCAGGCCTAGTGATGGCCAAACCAGTGCTGACTCGTCATGAGAAGAACAGTATTAATATTGTGAATGCTGTGACGGAGGATATCTAACGGCGACCACATCATTGCGTACAGTGACTCGGAAAACAAATAGAAAGAAATTGAGGCCTTTAATATTGATATATTGATCAGAACTAGGCTGTTCCGAGCTTCTGCTTATGTATAACATCTTATCTTGAGCCACATAACTCATAGCCTACTAGAGTCGCCAGACCGACATCACCGCTCGTACTGCGCCTTCTCACAAACCAAATAGCTCCCTGTTTATTCAACCTCGTTTCCTTACATCCAACATGTCCTGGAAATTAGGCACCTCCAAAAGTAAGTCCATGCGCGCCGGACCCCTTTGCTGATCTCCCATCCACCGGTCACTGCTTTCCATGGGAGTTCATGTCCTGACTACCACACAGAGTCCAACTTGAAGGATGCCAAAGAGAATGGCGTCGTCTCACGATCCGTCACCCCGATACCGTCGCGGCCCACAACTCCCAAGCCTCCTGGTGCCGTTGACCAGCAAGCTCACCTTCGATCTGGTATGCTTACGATTCGTATCTTCTCTGGTAAGGCCGGCCTCTGGAAAGTACTTTTCTGAATGCACTCTGATGTCATACATATACAGGGCGCGGTCTCTCCTTAGCACCTGGTGTGCATGTCCCAGAGGTCATCCAAAAAGCGCTTGACAACCCACCTGCACGAAGATCAGCAAGCAACCGCGAAAGCATGCAGAGGAAGCGATTGTGGTGGCTTCCATATGTTGTCCTCGAGTTCGACAACAATCAAGTTCTGGTAGACGCCATGGGCGGAGATCTAGCTAACCCTGTGTGGTCGTACCGGGCAGACTTGTGTGTGGTTTATGCGCGATGACTCTGGCATCTCTGATCGTTTATGTCACTAGTGATGTGTCCCGCACATCGACAATATCAGTCTCATCATATCTTCGAACCGCCGCCGCTGTACACAGCCAAGAAGATATGGGTAACGACCTGCTCATGGCCCGTGTAGATCTTACTCCTGTACTTGATGGACATGTAAGTTCACTTGTTTGTGACCATACTGTCCCCTGAATATCGCACTTTGCATTCAGCATGCTTCAGATCAATGGTACATTGCTACCGCTGGCACTGGCTCGTTTCACCTCAAAATCGACTACAAACCTATAAGGAACGAGTCTTTGACCATCGATGCATTCGATTTGTTGAAAGTGATTGGCAAAGGGAGCTTTGGTAAAGTGATGCAAGTGCGCAAAAAGGATACGCAGCGGATATATGCTCTCAAGACGATTCGAAAAGCCCATATCGCATCACGCCCCGGCGAAATCACACATATATTGGCTGAGCGGACGGTACTGGCACTGGTCAACAATCCGTTCATCGTGCCACTCAAATTCTCTTTCCAAAATCCTGACAAGTTATACCTCGTGATGTCATTCGGTGAGTTTTTTACCTTTACTAAGTTGGTGATAGCTTATGTCTGCGCAGTCAATGGCGGCGAACTATTCTATCATCTGCAGAGGGAAGGTAAATTTGATCAGGATCGCAGCCGATTTTACGCCGCAGAACTTCTATGTGCACTCGAGCATTTACACGGATTTAACGTAGTTTACCGGTGCGTTCTTAATGCGGGTAGCTGTGCCATTTTGCTAACGGTCCCATAGCGACCTGAAGCCTGAAAATATATTACTCGATTACACAGGTCATATTGCTCTTTGTGATTTTGGTAGGTACATCACAATCTGGGAGCTGATGTGCTGATTGTCGTCTGGTCAGGTCTTTGTAAACTCAACATGTCAGAGACAGAGAAAACAAACAGTGAGAAGGACTTTGATTTTCATGGAACAATTTAACCGGTCGCTATAGCATTCTGTGGCACGCCGGAGTACATTGCTCCAGAGCTACTCGAGAGCCAGGGGTACACGAAGACAGTTGACTGGTGGACGCTTGGTGTCCTGCTCTACGAAATGATGGTGCGCCCTTCGAAACATTTGCTTCTGACCATGAATTAATCAAATGCACAGACGGGATTACCCCCTTTCTATGACGAGAATGTCAACGTGATGTACCAACGCATCCTCAGTGACCCACTTGTATTTCCTTCGGATATGCCATCAGAGGCCAGGAGCGTCATGATCGGTCTCCTTCAGCGTGATCCTGCCCGACGTCTGGGAGCAAATGGTGGTGAAGAGATCAAGCGACATCCGTTCTTTGCCAAATATGTTGACTGGAACAGGCACGTATCCTATTTTTTTGACTATCTGTGCGTCACTCATGAATCACGCTAGGCTACTCCACAAAAAGATTCAACCACCGTTCAAGCCAAGTGTTGTGAGTAACTATGATCGTGTTCTTCTCTGTTATACTAAGTAAAACGTACTTTTAGGAATCCGTACTCGATGTAGCTAATTTCGACCCGGACTTCACTAACGAAGATCCTCAAGACTCCGTTGTTGAGGACTCTGCTCTTTCGTCTACCGTGCAAGAACAGTTTAAGGGATTCACGTATAATCCCGCCAATGAGCACCTCAGCGAGAGCGTCAACTATGCACATGCAATGGGTTAAGCCCCCGCAATGATTATTTATTATTTGCAGTGCGCTGGCGTGCTCTCGAAAGATTTCCGGACATTTTTTCGTCCCGGTCCGCTTTTGTGTGTATTTATACATTTGCATGCACTCGTTTTTGTTTTTGCTTTTGTGTGGTTTTGTTGCATTTTTTCTTTCAAATCAGGAGTAGGAGTTAACGGCAACATGTGTCGATTTTCCTTTCTGTAATACAGGCTCTTCTGTCTCTCGTGCTCGTTCGGTTATGAAAAGCTTATGATAGTATATGATACTTATGTGACCGACGGTGTTTTTCATCGCTGTCTAACGCTGTAGCATGGGTCTTACAGATGTCGCTAGTCTCCGGATTCAAGCTACTACCCTTCATCTGCTTCGACAAATGAGTGAGTTCAGACTCCTTTGATGAGGTATCGATAGCCGCGGCGGTCTGTGCTGAAGTTGGCTCCTGACTCGGACATGTTCAACTGTGAACTGTGACTTCTCTATATCGTAGTGGTGCATACGCACCAAGTCTCCAACTTCCCCCGTGCATGATTTGGGGCGGTCCCAGCAAGGAGAGCTACGGTCACGATGAACTGCGTAATCCAGATGATAATCAGTATTGGTGCATTGAGCGCAGGAATCTGTTCCTTGGCGGCTAATTATGCCGGTTATCTCTGAGGCATATCTCCCTGCTGGCGGAAATTAGGGTTCGGATGCATCTTGGAACTGTTTTTTCGCTGAGATGGTGGTGATTGTTGAAAGGATGTGACTTGAGTGAAGTGGACGGAGTACTAAGAACTCAGGATCACGTGCGCGTGTTATGAGACGCGTCGCCGGAGTTGAATATTTAATATTTGAATTGCAGGTCCACAACCGCGTGCACATCAATCCACATCGCCGGTTGAACGTTGAACAATGGTCCACAAATATTGGTCGACCAGATATAAGGCAAGCCGGCAGTAGTCGTTTTTTTATTCTCTTAATAGTTTTTTCCACCTTACCAGTTCTGTTCACAACACTCAGTCAGTATAATCATCGAACGCCTGACGTCCGAGTCATGTCCTCTGCCAGCGAGACTGGCACGTCGTCTACTCCGCCACGTGCTAATGCACCAGTTTATGATTATAGTAAAATTGAATCCATTCAACGCGATATCGAGCAGGCTAAGGAATGCAAGGCAGATGCCATGCTGCAAGCCCTCCTTCAGCGCGCTTCTTCCGCTCCCGAGACTAAACAGCCCGAGCTCCTGCAAAAGTGTCTCAAGGCAGTTCTGCCGGTTTGCAATGGACAGGCCTCCACTGCTCTTGTAAAGTCGTCTGATGTCGAGACAGCCCTCAAGGAATAGTGAGTGCTTGTTCTAACTCGCTGTTCGGGAGTTTTCATGATTATAACGATTGCAAGTATACGTCCAGGAGTTGAACACAACTTTTACGGCCCTTTCATAAGAGCCACTAATGTCGCTCTCGCATGTCTTGAAGAGATCAAGGTTGATGGGATGCGTGCCCCTGTCTCCGCCGTGGACATTATCTGTCAGCAGAACGATATGCCCATGCACCAAACCCACCAGACCGCGGAATCAATTCGGAAGCCCGACCTCGTCATTCTTCCTTTGAACAGTGCATGCGTTCCCTTCCAGGATGAGAAGGGCGGCGAGAAGGGGAAAGAGGAGGACGAACAGGAGGACGACGACCAGCGCAAAAGGAAGCGCAAGGCTCACATGGACACGAATGCAACGGAAAAGCCAAAGAATCTCCCCTGGAAAGATGTTCTAGCTTGCATCGAGTTCAAGAGAAAGACGCCAGGGAGGACGAAAGGGATCGACTCACCGCCCTGTTCGTACACAGTGAAAGACTATGTCCCCACCAAGCCAGAATATCTGCCAGTGGATCACCTTGAGGCTGAGAACCAGGCGTCAGGCTCTTCGCAGACTTCAGCAAGACAATCCGTGTCTGACGCTGCATGTAAGTAATGGTATTTAGGATTCCGAGACCAAGCTTAATCGGCCAAGCCATAGTTCTATCTTCCAGTCTTACTTCTGCACAGCCTTCCCGGGACGGGTCCAAGCGCAAGGCCACGAATACTTTGCAATCCGCCGCGAAAAAAATCAAGATGGATCCCGACGACACGGACACTGATGTGGATGCCGATTTAGATGTAACCATCCAGACGGGTCTGTACGTCGCTGAAATGTTTGCGGACAATCTGGGAGTCACTTATGTGCTGAATATTATTATTGTCGGTGAGTGAGTTCGTCTGCCGAAATTGGTCGCACTCTTACCAAAGTTTTTTCAGACGATGTAATGTGGATCTGGTATTATGATCGGCAAGGGATTATTCAATGCTCAGGCATCAACTTCATTCAAGATCTCCCGCGATTCATGGTGCTGTTGTATGCTTTACAACGCTTCAAGCTTCACGATTGGGGGAATAAGGTCTTCCTCCCAGTTCAAGTTGAGGGGAAACGATGCCACAAAATCAAAATCAAAGATGAAAAGCTTGGAGAGGTGGATCTGCTGCTTCACACTAGTCACAACAAAAGAGTGGCACGCTATGGACTGCAAGGACGGGCCACTAATGTGGTCCCTGTCGCCAGTGAAGCGCTCACGAAAAAATACGATAACCTCCAGGATGGGATGGTGGCCAAAATCTTTTGGGGAGAGGCGAGTCGCACGAGCGAACCGGAAATCTTGGACAAGGTTAATGAGATCGCGAAGGTTCACAGTTCTGTAAAAGGCCATATCCCTGAGTTGCTGTGGCACTACAAGTTTACGGATTCTACGTCCGCCATCCGAGAAGCGCTCGGCGTCCCAGACCCACCACGGGCAGTCGCGTCCTCTACATTCTCGTATTCCGCAAGCTCAAGCCAATCACGGAGCTCCACGGCAGAGAGCTTTTCGACGTGTGTTATCAATGCATACTATGTACGTGTTTCATCGCATTTATGAGGCTCCCGTTGACATAGTGTGCAGGTCACGTTACTTTGTGGAAGGAAGGGGTCTATCATCGAGATGTCAGCCCTGGAAACCTGATGTGGTACTGGCAAGACGGGAAGCGGATAGGTGTTTTAAACGACTACGATCTATCCTCATTGGCGGATGACACAGGTTCTCGAGGGAATGAATGCATAGGAACGATGCCGTTCATGGCGATCGATCTTCTCAGAGTACCGGGTCAACGAGGCGAAGTCAAACATCTATATCGCCATGATCTGGAGTCCTTTATGTGGTGCTTTGCCTGGATCTCCTTGAAAGGAGTCCGTCTATCTCAGGGATTGCTCCCTGTCGATGAATGGGCGACTTTAGATGCCAGGACATGTGCCGTCGAGAAGTCGTTTTTCCAGGGACATATAGAAGTCCCCGCACACTTGCGCAAAGATAAACTTATGTGGAAATTCCTTGTGGATTGTTTCCACGTGCTTAACACGCACGCCTTTAATCGAGTTACACAACTATACCAATCAATGAGAAAGGGAGACAAACCGACCAACTCCGAGGAATCAGAATCAGACATTGATGGTTTTCTACTGTCATTCCAGAACACTGAGAGCTGGACTGCGCTCAGAAAATCTTTGCAGTAATTTTCACTTGTTACACTACCTGGGTTCCGATACTTGCGTCAATTGCTCCTGTGTACTTTGTCTTCGGTAGGTAAACCGATCGATTAAATGGATGATAGTGATTCGTCGTTGCACAGAATGAACAGTCTGAATCGGACATTCTACCAAGATCCAATATCACATTAATGCATCACTTACTCAGAATCCACATGTACACAGCTGAGAATAGTCATTGCCGATCTTTCCAGTAACAACGGACGTCGGAGAATCCGATATCTTACAATGGCTGAGCGCTGAGCACTAAACCTCCCGATCATCCTGGCGCCAAACATATTGTTCAAGTACACGATTCCTTTCAGACACAGGATCCCAACGGGACGTACCAAGTTCTCGTGATGGACGTACTTGGATACTCGTTTATCCCCAATTGAATCGTCTTTCATCAGTGACAATGGTCGATCAGGTTATGCTGGGACTAGCATACATACTTTCACCAGGAAGGGCAGCGGTTCCTTTAGGTCCTCCAAGGACCAAGATTGTTGACCGCCATGATGAGTCTAGCCAGGAACATGATTGTTTTCAAGATACTCGATATCGACAGCGACAATACAAGGTCCTCTTGTCTGATTTTTGTTACTACATCCATACAATCAGGTAACAGCTAATCAATGTACCACGCATTTAATAGATCGACTCGTGAGACATACAGGAGTCAACCCGAGGTCCACTGGGAGTGAATACGCGTGACGAAGTGGGGTACACCTGGTGGTGCCGGTGAGCCAGATTATCATAGCCTTCAAGTCCAATTCTTAATTTCTTGTTCCTGTACACTATGCAAACAGATATCAGCGACGCCATTTTCTGCGACCAGAATCCAGATCCACGCTCCATTTAATTATTAATTGCCTTTCTGCAACTATCCTGCGGTCGAAGGATTTAAATAACAAATTACCATACGGAAGATATTAGGACATGGTGAGTGTGTATTGAGCATGGAAAAAGTACAGGGCACTGCCTCCAGGAAATACCAGGACCTAAACGAGTGTAAGAAGGCAGCCAATCAGGTGTGTTTGGTTCTGTAAATAGGTAGGTGGACGAAAATGAAAATGGGGTGATCCAAAAACAAGGTGACTTGCATGGATGACCAAGGACAAGAGCAAACGACAACATAAATGACAATGGTAATTGCGGGGATTGTGGAGGGAAATGGTGTGACTTCGGTGACTGATGTGATAAGATAAAACGACTGATCATAAGGAAAGACAACAAGGAAGATGGAGGGGAAATGGCCGAAGTCTTCCAGTTTCTGGACGTTGAATGACCTGCAAGCTACGTATGTAAAGGCATCTACATTGAGAATGTTAGTCCAGGTGTGATACAATGGAATGCCTCGGAAGATGCAGTGCATTGCCACAGCCTACGTGAACATAGATATAAACCATCTCTCCTTCAAAGCCAAGAGACGTCACATTACCTTTGTTCACCTAGTACCCGCAGAATGCAAACCCCCTTCAGTTCCACAACTTCAGTCGCCCGGGTCGATATTCGATTATTACACATCCACGTATATCAGAATGGGTTCCCCAACGCCCTCAATCTCGGGAATGACGCATTTGAGATCAAATGCCTTGGCAAGCACAATTTTGAAGATCTTTTGAACGTTTATTGACGCAGATGTCGAACAGAAGACCAGCGAGGCGTGCATCGCACGAGCAAATCGTTTTGCCTGATCAAATCAAATTAGTTACGAAATCACATCATATAGATGATGTAAAGACGTACCTGCTTGGTAATCTCCTCCTGCTCGTCTCTTGGGAACGTCGCGAACGTATCGAATTTCGTGCCAATGAGAAATGGTATAGCAGTCTGATAAAAGGAATGAGCAATGCCGTTGAACAATACCTTGCGAAATATGAATAGACCTTGTTGAATCCTCGAGCCTGACGATACCACTCCTTCACCGAATTTAGCGTTGACTTTCGAGAAAGATCGAACATGAATAGAATCGCCACAGCATCATTACAGACGAGCGGCAGCATGTTGACGAACTCTCGCTGACCACCCAAATCCCATATTGAGAATGTGATGGTGGTACGCCGGACAGAAATCGTTTTCTCCATGAAGTTGACGCCTGCGGCCCAACTCATTAGGATGGCAAAGCGCAATACGAAAAATAACGGGTCCTCACCTAGTGTCTGGATATAATCCTCATCAAAGCTGCCTTCTACATACTTGACCATGAGACTCGTCTTGCCAATCTGAGAATCTCCAACCATCCCAACTTTGATGACTACGCTATTCTTCTCTTCATTGTTCTCCAGCATTGGATGCGGGTTCTGACCACTAGGGCCAGCGATTGAAGATGAAGATACCGAAGTCGTAGGTGGTGACATTATCGATCAATGTAGAGTGGTATCCGGTAGGAAGGGATGATTTTGATACTGTGGTGACACAATACGACACTGGAATCAATGGGTAACAGGGTATCAAGATGGGAGACTGTAGGATGAATCAAAGTAGTCGGAAGAACGATAGAAAATAAAGACGCGTTCTGCCGTGCGCTGGTGAGATGTTTGATAAGCGCCTCGAGTGAGAATTGCAGGCTCACGCTCAGTACTGTACACTGAGACGCGAGCGACTCAACTTTTGCGTAGTCGCCCGTCAACAGCCAACGCAGAGAACAGACCGAGAGAATGTGGAAGTTGAAGGAAGGATGGTAGCCTTAGGTAACGTGCTGTTTGGTTTCTTCACAGCTGTGTCAGAAGTCTGTTTTCCAACTTGACAAACAGCTTCAAATTTGTTCTCCTGTTGCTACTAGTAAGGAGTTCCGAGAACCACGAGAGAGGCTATCATTTAACCATTCCCAGTCAGATTAATCGAAGGATAATATTGATTTCTTACTATTCGTATCAAGGTTGGTGTTCGACTCGTCTCACTGTTTACAACTTGGACTGAAACTGAAGCAGATTGTAGACCAGACCAAGCCAAGGATGGATGACTTGGGCCAGGTATCCAACATCCAGATGTTCTGTCTGGGAAGCCACGGGGTAGGTAGTACAAAAGTATTGACAGCTCTAGCCGCAGAGAGTGCAGACTACCTTGATTTATCCTGCTACCAGCATACGGTAGCCTACTGGGGTTGGCTTAATCTTGATACATCTATGGTGAGGGTCGTCACATGTACAGACAAGCACTGATATAATTAAGACCTAGACGTGCTTTCGTTGAACAGTTTATATATCTAGTTTCACTGGCAGAGCACGTTCTTATCAGTCTTGACTTGCACTTTAGAGATGCTCACTTGTGTTGTCCCGGCTACTATATTGCTCCAATCCGAATCAGCACCACCGAGGATAGTTGACAATATTTGTCGCGTGGCTCGCTCGCATCCAACGATCAGCTGCAGTCACACCTTCCCAAGCTGTGCAAAACGACATCATACTGGGCACATTTGCAACATTATGGGGAATCGATGACTATCATCATACCTTGTCTATCGTATATGTGGTATGTGATAGATGTTATCCTCGCATCATCCCAGTCAGCTCAGTGAACAACGGTCTTTTCTATATCTGAACCATGACGATAACAAAGGGTGACCACATACCCGTCGACGACCAGTTTGATATCCTGGGCGTAACCGAGTCGCTTGGGCGGGCAGATATGGCCACGTCTACCCCCGAATTTCGTTCATCCTCGATATGGGCGATCGTTCCTCGTGACGCGTATGAGCCACACATGAAAAGATTTTACCAGCTGCTTGGGAACGGAAGCTGGGAAGGGGAGACACGGTGTTTGGGAACATACAACATCCGTAGTGGTATACGTCGGGCTGGTCACGAACCTAACATTTATCTTGTAGACATTGGGTACCCGGTGGCTCTCACACGCGAAATACATGGAACATTGGGCATAATGATCCAAGCCATCAAAATGTATCTCTGAGTTGGGTTCCCTTTACATCACACCCTCGATTCATACCAGCACTGGACGTCGGACACTACTAAGTGTACTTTTATCGTGGATGAATTGAAGTACCCCTGACCCATTGATTTGGAGTTGTCGTGTAACAATCATATACCCATTGGCATGCCACATGGATTTATGTGAGAATTTGAAAATTATCGGACTTGGGGGTGAACTTACAACTGGCTTATGGACTCCAAAGTTACACAACTTCTAGAAACTGCCAGGAGAATTTTGAAGGGTAAGTAACTCTGGTTACCACAGTAGTTTCAAAAAGAGGGGGCTTCTCTCATACCTAAGACCTGATTGCTCACCACTACACAACCCTGTTCTTGACTCACCGTCTGCTAGTAAACCATGCCAACACTCACCATTGTCGACTGGCTGGACCTATGTCTTGCTAGGGTCGAAGTGTATGTAGTAAAGCAAGTGTTCGGCAAGAAGAACCCTGCACCACATCCCCCGGGATGGCCTCTCGTGTGGAACATTACTGACATGCCTGATGTCAAGCCCTGGCTCACCTTCGCTAAGTGGGGCAAAAAGTACGGTGAGTACTCCTTGTTTTTCCCAAGTCGTTTGTTTCAATAGCTGCGTGTATGTGATATAAGTATTGCATGTGGCACTACTTGATCAGCACGGTGCTAACTTAGAATGGCACTAGGAACTAGCCATATTGTAGATGCAGGCTGCGTCCCGGTGGAGCTAAAAACTCACATCACAAACATCATTAGGGCTGATACTGCCGACCGGGTGGGTCATTTACAGAATTTACATTAACTAATCGTAAATTCCCCCAGTTAAAGAGACTTTTTGCGTTCTCGCATAATATTGCAATGGTAAATGCCAGGAATGAGGCGGCGCGGCTTAACTACCTTAGCACAGTTCTCCCACTCCGCTCTGGAAATTGACCTTGCCATTTCATTTCGTGCCTGATCCTAAGGATGAGGCTTGCTATGACAATCATTCTCCCCATCAGCACTACCACTGCAATCGCTTTCAACGCAGGTATGTTTAAAACCCTTGAGCGTCTAACCAACGAAGACAGCGATCCGTGCAATATGAGCTGGCCAATTGACAGCAGAGCAGCTCTCACGTAAAATGGATGACAGACGACCCCGTATGGTCCATTTGTGACAAGCTGGTGTCCTTTGCGGACACTGAGCTTGAATGTGAAAAAATAATCAAGGATGTGAAAACACCACCAGCGGAGGAATCCCCCAATGACAGTGAGCGCAGTGCCAAAAAGGAGAGGGGAAGTGTCGGTCACGTCTTGAATCACTCGAAGTGAGCGAATTATCGTTTGTAATCCGTTGGGGAAAATGTTGGGGTCTACAGCGTGCGAGGTAGTGATAGCTAGTTCTGTGAAAGCAATAGCCCAGATTATTGCCTGATAGTTTCATTAGAGATAATTGTGGAATACTAATGATCAGCTGCCTTTGTCATTGGTAGCCCGTAGTTGGCATCCTGAAGAAGAATCCACTCTATGAAGTTCTTGTTGACAACATCGTCACTCGCGGGAACATGGGGAGGCATGAACGCTACGTGCATCGCAATAGGGGGCGAGTAGTATTTTGAAAAGGGACTCCATCTTCCCGAAGAACGCTCGACCTTCGTGAACGCTTTTATTCGCGAAATTCGCATCAAGGGTTGAAATTCAGATAGTCAATCCCCGCGCAATCACAGGTAGAAGGTGTGAACTAGGAATTTTTTTGAGGAGTCCAAAAACTCAGCGGGGAAGACACTGTGACAAGAAACACCATGTTGAGATGATCAAAACATCGTTCCAAATGGTTGCTCATGAAGCGGCTTTTGTATCCATGGTTCAGATTGGTAGTAAGAATAAAGAGAAACTCTTACCGATTGGAGAATCTGAGGTTTCGACATCTGCGCAGACTGCGTAGTAGTCTAATTTGATCACTGCCACGTCGCTCATGCGTAGATATTGAGGTTAGAGACAGCTGAAAATGGGGGCAGTCATAATACCCGTCACAATCTTCCCGCAGGGAGGACTGTGACCACCGTCGGGTTGAGGGCGTCGTAATCGCCATACTTTGAGTCGAGTAGTGACGCCAAGTCAAGATACGAACCCATATTCCTTAGTCCAAAGCTGCTAGGACATACCAACTTTTACTGTCAGCATGCAGCCGACAAACAAATAAGAACTGAGTTAACGTACGAAGTATCCCGGATGACGACGTACCATGCTATGAAGACGGATGTCACTGCTGGCAGCTGCATGTATATAGATATGATTGAGTCACAGCGCACGATGACGGAATTCGATGAAAAGCAAGGAAAATATTCATCATCAAATTGAATCATTATCAGGAAGTTCGGTGAGTCCCGGCGACTCTCAGATTTGTCTCGGATCTGTTTAATTTCGGAATGGCAAGATAGAACCGGTCACTACCAATCACTACCAACCTGAATCTTGATGCATACGACTCGGATCAAGTAGTCTTATTTAGCAGACAAGTCACCACATAGTCGGTGTCAATCTCAAGGATTAGACACAGTGGGTGGTCCCCAACTGTCACTTGCTCTAAGATTGTTACCGCATCAACACCTATAGTTACAGGTGTTCCATCGTACGTGGGCTGGATTGCTGCCGCTTATGAGAGCAGTTACATTTTGACATTACCCTTGACAAGTCTGTCAACGCCTAGGTCTGAGCAAGCGATATGAGAAAAATATTAACACAAAGGTATCATACTGCCAGCAGATGGAAAGTCCCTTTCAATAAGTCTTACCGTAGGATGTGCGCGATACATGAATATGGCTCCCATCAGGTCTTAAACACTACAATGAGGATGAGTAGTATTAGTATGAGAAGAGCAATTGTGACTGTAGAGCCTAAACCAAATAAATGAGCAAACTGGACGTTCGTAGGTCATCAATGATGGGAGTTACCATTTCGTCTCGCGCCTTGAGCAACACGTTCAAGTTTGCGCCTCGCATTGGACATGCGGGCACCGGTACCGTCGAGCTCAGTGTCTAGGGCATCAAGAAGTCCCGTATGTACCTCGAGCTCGTCGCCTATCTGGAGCGAAATGTGATGCTGTCGACCAATCGAAGAAGAAAGGTGGTCAAGGTGAGCATCTTGCGCTAGTGAATCAAATGTTATAAACCATATGTTAGGTTTTGGCGGCGAACATAAGCCTTACCATCCATTATCTGCCTCTGTTGCATCAAAATGCCATTTTCATCTGGATCCAGCGAAGGGTCGTCCGTGTATGGTTCGTAGGTTGTCTCAGGACTCGGAACACGTTCAGCTAGAGGTGGGGGTGACGGTGGCATCGGAGGGGGTATACTGGCATGAGATTTGAGAACACATTTACAATCACGCAAGGCACAACACACGTATGTAATCCAGCCTTCTCTGCTGCTGCTTCCCCAAACATACCGCGCAGCCGTTCGTAGTGTGCTCTAAGGCTTTCCGCAGCTTCATCATCGGAAGTGGTGCGGAGGGCTATGACACCATCCCTAATCTTATGTAAATTGGTTGATATTGTTTGCAGATGTAGAGTGGGATGGGAGGCCTGGAGGCGCTGCCGTTCGAGCAGGAGAGAAAGTGTTGAGGTCGCAAGAGATGTCAGTTTCGCAGCGGACATGGTTCGTATACAGAGGTGGGACTCCGGGGCCCCTCGAGCGAAGAGGATGAATGGGTGCTGAGAAGGAAGAGAAACTTTGAAGGAGCTCCCTGAGAGTATGAGAGCTGCCGATATTGCAAAGTTTCGCAGCCCTGAGATGGGAGTTGGGCAATTTGCCGAGGGCCTGCCCGCCGCCACGGGTCACATGTCGTATCACGTGAAAGAAAAACGCGTCCTGAAGCGATTAAGCATCTCACCTTCATAAACGGAGTGGATACGCACCAGCGACGTGAGAGCTGCCAAGAGGCTTTTATCAATGAAGCTCTGTTTATGCATGAAATATACATGTAGCGTGATTGTATCAGCGAATCATAGCATCTTATCTTATCTTATCAACATCAATGATCAGGTGATCATACTAGGCATTGCTGAGCAAACAAATATAAATTCATTCATTCTACCAAGTTACCAAGGTCCAACCCTTCAAGTTACTTAGTGCAATCTCCAACACGCGAGCTTGACACGCAACCATCATGTCAAATCAGTCTATACATCCCAGTGCTCTGGCAGCATTACAACGCCCTTCGAATACTGGAGACCGCTCCACAATCCGTAAACTATCTGATTTCGATCAAGGCGTGCTTGCGGTTTTTACATCGCACGATAAGAATCTTGGAGAATTGACACATAGATTCGACCTTCTTTGTCCCCGTAACGGATGCGGTAGCGTAATCTTGAAAGCGGGCATCGGCCGATGGGTAGAACGTGATAGTGTCGAGGTCCGACTCGTTTCTGATTAATCCATACTATCGATGTCACTCAGCGATGTCGTTAGCTCGATACCGCACAGGAGTCTCTTCACCCAGACCTGCCAGCATTGCCAGCTCCACCTGCTACTGCGCACTGGTGGTTGGTGACTCCGAATATGATGGAATTTGAGAACATTGGTTTTACAAGGCCTGTCCAGAAAGACGGTTAGTGTAATGCTGGACTCCATTCCTATTCACCTTCCCTAACAACGGAATGCTAGCAGTTGCAGCAAAAAAGCTCAAGTTCCTGATATGCGCAGAATGTGACCTTGGTCCATTGGGATGGTGCGAAGAAGGGGGCAATGAATTCTGGCTAGCTTGTTCGCGGGTGGGATATCGCTAAGTCACAATTATTTGTGGCTGCGCGTATTTACAGGCTGATACTGAACAACTTCAAGTCACGAAGCCAGCTAAAGAAATAACAACTAGATATGTAGCAACAAACTGGGATCTGCCAGTGCTGACTCGACTTCGAGGTGGCACCTCGGAAAGCTTGACTCTTGCTACGTTCAAATACGTCTGCCCTCGGGTCGCTCAAGAGATAATGAAATGAGCTTAGGCATGAAAGACCTCGACATGTCTATTGAATCTCTCGAGCGGTTTCGTAGAGCCACGATGCATATCACATCGATCGATACTCGAAGTTCGAAGCTAAATTCATACTCTGTCTGTTCTTCTCCATCGTATTAAAGCTCAGGCGGTTTCTTTTTTTCTCTTTTTTTTCTTTTTTACAGAACGTTAAAAGAGAAGAAAAAAAAGAAAAAAAGCCCCCAGAAAGCCACTTTGTCTCATAGCACCCGTATGCTATGGTCCTTTGATCATGCATTCGGTTAGACAGGCAGGGGCAAGTGCACCAGCATTTGGATGATGACCGTTGGTTCGATACCTACAACATCCCATGTCTCCTCATGATCCCTGCCTCACCCATTGTCCCTCTGTATCATACCACGAATAGTCGTAAATGATAAGTGGACCGGGATTACAGTACCATCATGCCACAACTGCACATAAGGAACACAGATTATTATAGGGTCTAACATATGACATCGCCCCAACAAACAATAACGAGGAACCAAAAAAGGACAAGTCCCCACCCCGTGAACTGGCTCTGACGAGAAATGAACAGTGTAAATGACAAGTAGATATGACCCTCCAAAGCAACCTGAACTTGTACAGGCCCGATATACCAGGACCTATGACATTGAATGAGTTCTTGATACATTCCATTGCATGCTAGTGATGGCTTCAGGATACATTGCTCATTCTACTCCCATGACACCCCATATCGCCTTTCCAACAACCGCAATTCCATCATTTTGATTGCCTGCACGACTCTGACCGTCATCAAAAATTTCGGGACCCAAGAGTCCTCGCCGCACGCCGAGGAGTAAACGCATTATAGACTCTGTGAATTCGGGGTGGCCTTGACTGGTGAGAATATGAATATCGGTCAGGCGGAAATTAGAGTGCGGTGCGTCCCTTAGGGAGTCTGACTGTGAAAAGAGAACCATCCCGTGAATCGGCGATTGGTTAGACGATGCAAGAACATGGAATGATGGCGGCTTGGTGGGAACATGGTCGCGATTCATTAATTGTATGTTCTCGAGAAAGGATTAGTACGATAGCAATTGAAGATAAAGATTTCTAACCAATACGCCAGATTCGACGCCATACACTCTCTTTCCGAGTTCAGTCAATTGGAGTTTTGTCGCAGAAACTTCGAAACGAGTGTTGCGAACACATGTCCCGCCCATGGCAAGCGCGACGATCTGATGTCCAAAGCATATGCCTGTTAAACGATTATCAGTCCTTGTAGACTGTATGAAATGTATTCATCGACCAAAAATCTTTATCCGCGGTTTCTCTGTCGCGATAACCCTCACGTACTCAATCAACTTTTTCATCCATTCTCTACCTGGTTGTTCATATTCGTGGGCAGTATGTGCTGTGCATGACAGGAGAAAGATTAATACTCATGGAATACACATGAATATGTTTCCACGCACCAGCGCCGGTTATTAGTATTGCATCGTAGTCGTCCTCTTTAGGGTAAACCTGCACGCGCACGTCGAAAGGCTCAAGTGTGAACGTCGTTTGTGAGTCTGGGTCAGTGGTGTGAAATCGAGCCTTGTAGCAAAATCGGAAATAAATGTACAACGAACCAACTGAATGAGTCTCATTGATGGGCTTCAATGATTCTTCTAGCAAGGTTCCGAAGATCCTTGTGTAGTCCCCGTGCTGCTCCCGGACGGGATCAGCGGGTACATCGCATATGAGCAGTGCGATGCGGCGATGTGTTCCCGGCTGATACATTGCAAAAACAAAGGGGAGGCGCTGATACTGAGAGAAGTATTTGATTAGTGTTACATCGTTATCAATGATTACTGATACTTGTCATATGTTACAGCCCGTTGGGATGTCGAGTGACTCGGACCGCTTCGGACCAGGTTCCACCCGGATTCCGATGGTAAAACGAACACTGCCACTGACAGCGCATTAAAGCTTTCACTTCAATCCGTTTCAAAGTTCTCGCAGCATCATCATCCGTGGTTTCTTTCAATGAGCGAGGTTGTAAACGCTATCGTCGCTTTTGCAGTCATTGTTATCATCTTCCGATGGGCAACTTCATGTAAGTAACGAGCTATTGATCCCACTAATATGTCCGCTTCTAACAAGTTTCTACGGCAGCCAGCGACTCTTCCAGTAGGAGGTCAGCATCTTCAACTCTTGGTTTCAGGCCAAAGAATGTGACGCAGGAAATGGTTGGGCTGGAACTTTATACCAGTCATCATGCTGAATCCCTCCTCGCAGGTTAACCAGATACATTCCATGTTTCCAACCATACCACAGTATGTTCGTGTTTAACTGCAGAATTTCTCGCTTACTATTGTCACAGAGATAATATTCGTTATGACTTGCTGAGGACAGGGAGCGTTGAGATCACCTCGAATAAAATTCTGGAGCGTGGATATCTTGATGCGGTGTGTAAATATCTCACTTGATGTCAGTTTTATGCATTCGAGCACCCTCTTTTATAGCCACCTCCAGCATATTTCACTGTCTATTCTCGCACAGAGGTTCCCCCGCAACCTCGGCAAGTTGGTCCTCAAGGGCAATCGACAGGTTTAGCACCAACCCCGAAAGAGAACCTTATATCTCGTTACAAGCTACAGGATCGAACGCTATCCTCCACTTTCTCACCCGAAGATCATCTTGCCTTCAGCAAGGCTAACTGGGAGGATTCATCGGAGAAGCGCGAGGCTAGTTTGCAGGAAAGGAAAGCACAGATGATTTTGGCCGCCAGACAGTGCGTCTCTATCCTTGAATCAATGCCCTTGATTAATTAATTATTATCAGACGATTGCTGGCACAGCAAACTCGGAAAGAAGAGACAGACGCGGCACCAGGTTCTTCGTCGTAATAAACATCTCATCCTTGCAACAATTACTCAGATGCCGTGATTCCTTGCATAATAAGCGTTACCAAATGCTCTGTACTTATTGTTGCTGTTTTGTTCATACATCCCATGTCTCATCAGATCCTGGACCGCCCGTCATCATTTGCAATTCTTTCCTCTGCATGATCCGACAACAATGTGATACAATACCTGTTCATTCCTATTCACCGTATCTTTTAGAGCTTAGCGCTTATCCCTGGCATGATCAATAGAAGGCTGGGTTTTCAAACGCTCAGTGGTTTGAAATTGCCACTGCCGGTGAGTAACAGTGCCTCACATTTGATTAACCCACAAAAAGTCATCTCTAGCTGCTCACGGCTGCATCATGCGGTACGACAACCATGTTCATGTCATAACCTGACTGATGGCTGATGATATTATTGCCTTGGCGGTCTGAGAAAACTAAATATATTTAACCATACCTTGGGATACCTGCTCAAATGGATAACAGCGATGCGGACTTACATAGACTGGTAATGACTCGTGAGCGCTTGAGCGCTAAGCTCACACCAGCACATAAAATTTCGACAGATTCTCGGGATGCGGTCGCCACTTTTAACTTAGGCACCTAGTACGAACCTGATTGCGAGCTGTAGTATACACCAAATTGTCACATATATACGTGGTTCGCAACCAGATCTGTATACTGTTCACCTGCGTATCTTGTTATCCCAGCTCATAATCAATTAAAGGTAACGGGCAATTCCATCATCTGGAGGTGTCATCAATGAATAATAGTAAATCAACAAGCCGGGCTTCCGCTTGTTCCTGCCGTCTCGCTTGAAAACATTCTTACTGTGGGTCGTACACCGTTCCGAGTCTGTCGATGAGTCGGCGTGGCAGGTGATATAAAAGGCAAGGACATTAGCACGATGTCGGACCTGTGATTTTCGGCCGATGCCATATTACGGGTCTCGCTCATACACTGACCTGCTACGCAAACAGAACAATAGTTTGGGTGAGAGAATTTCTATACTTATATACCGCAACAAATAAAGGAAACCGCTAAGATGGGATGCCCTGCGGGCTATCCCGGGACCCGGGGGTTAGTGTACGAGGTAAGAAGAATAAGTATAGTGGGAATAACTGAAGCAATTATCTACTTAACAGACTCCAGAGTACTGAGTGCACGTGAGGGAGTGGACATCACGATCGGTGAGTAGACTTGCCCGATGGACTCCTGCCCGAACAACTTTGACTTCCATTTTGATCAGGCTTCCATTGGAGAGCAATCTCCACGCTCGAGCCATGGTGCTGACTGTGCGCATTCACTGTCAGTGAATTCTTCCTCGATGCTACCCTCAAAATCTTGAGATATGTACGTTGTTGCTGGCCTCGCATTCAGGATCGTCATGACATGAGAAACTACTATTAGGTTTTGACTCAGTCACTGGGAATGTCAAATGCATGTACGATGTACGTAACACTACACCATCATGAGGCTAGCCGCTAGTGGCAAATGTTAGCTTGGTTCACGACCAAGGTGAGACGCAATCACGACTTTTTCAGGACACTGTCCGCGTTAAAGACGGAAACGATTTAGTGACTCGGGCTGCCGGGCGCAAAAGAATGCTCCGCGCAGTCCTAGATTACTCTAGATCAAGTCAAACATGGTTCAAGTGCTCACCGGCACCTGCCACGCCTACGACCTCGGGTTGGTTATGTTCAGTAATCTCCGTTCGCACGATGCAAACAATCGAGGAAGTAATCGACTTTCAACAGGTAGCTTAAGAGGTCGATAAGAACACCGGTACCGGTCGTTCTTAACACGTGATAACCTCGTGCTTGGATGATACGGCATCGCGATTCGCATTTCAGACAAGCGTGAGGGAAGCATTGGTTCATAGCGACAGGGGTTATCAAATCGGTTCTGATTGTTGGGCCAACCTTGGACATGAGGTGAAAGCGCCAGGGCCGTCCGTGTGCAAGGTCGTTTTCCGCTCCGCATGTGATCCAGTTGTTGAACATTTCCGCCATGTCATATGCTCGGTGAACACATGGCAATCCGATACCTGCTTGACGACATGCATATTCATACCTTCCAGGTCATTGTCGTGCTTCTCCTTTTAACCTGATTAACTTTTTAAAGTTCCGAGTAGTTTCCATAGAAAGCTGCACCGTGTGATTGTTGCTTGCTGTGTGCGATGATAGTGCGACAATACTCAATGTGCTGCACATGCAGAGGCTCGGAGGTGCACGGCACTGCAACATAGATAATAATAAAAAAGGGGATCATTTATTTATAGAATACCGTAATCGGAGACTGAAATTGTGAAATTGTTATGGCAGATTAGTTTGACAATGTTCTGTTCGTTCGTTGTCGTTATGGATGAGGGTGAGCGAGAGCACGTACACAGCTGGTTACTCGCCGAGGACAACGCGCGCATCGCTATACTCACTGTCTCTTCTCTCGCTCTCGCTGTTGCATCCATCCTCCTCTGGCGGGCAAAGCAGGTGGAGAACAATCCCGGGAACGACCACGGACCCAACTCCAAACAGGCCCGTTCTGCTCAATCCATCATCACCGCCGCTCTCTCTACTTTTCATATCGCCAGTAACACTCCTGGTGAGTGTGACATGACCGAACCAGAACACTCCAACACTCCTCAAACATCATCTACATCTACCGACATGGAGCAGAAAGCTTCTCGGTCCAAGGAGCGACGCAGAAGGGGAAAAATTCCGCATAAGGAACTTCTCAAGAACGGGAAGAAGGCAAAGTCTACACCCAAGACCTTACAGCCCAAAACACCCGTTCATCAAGATAACAGCGGTAGCGATTCTCCGATGTTCGAGTCAGAGTTCAAGTCGACCGCAAGTAACGATAATATCGCGCCAGTCGCGCCATCCACTTATTGTTTCCTTTCACCTTCTCAAGACTCTCCTGAAGAGAGTCTGGTATCACATCTGAGCGTAGAGTCCCCGCCAGCGGTTGAACCACACGAGGACCGCCTGCTACCTGCTTGCGTGTCAGCATCCAGTTCTGAGCCAGCATCGGTTTCGCGTCATGTCACGTCCAATGATCTCACCATGCGTACTTCACGCTCTGAACACACGCACCTTCATGGCACCGCTGACAACATCCATCCTGCTGGCAGCCCCTGTCACGACGATTCCCCCTCCTCCATGCTAGAATCATCTTCCCCACCCACCTCCGCAGAAGAACACGACAGCCATGAAATTCCATCCTCATTCACTTCTTACCCTCAATCTCGTTCTATGCCACTCCGTGTATCTATATCTACCCACACGTTGGATTTGGACGGACAATCACAGGCATACAGGGCAGGCGCTTACACCAAGCCTCCACGATTAATGCCAAAGCACCGTGGAGCTGACAAGTCCAATGGTAGTTGTGTGATTTCAGCCTCTATCTCGCACAATACCCCCTTGGCATCGTCATCTGCCTCTCACTGCTCCTCTCCCGCACGAATCATGTTATCCACCTCTGCATGCGCATCCAGTTCCCCATCACACCCGAATCTGGGATTGAGTATTGAACCGACCCCATCTCCCTCTGGCTCTTCCCCTCAACTTGCTCCTTCACCAACACTTCCACATGTCACATTTCCTACTTTGAACCCTCTCCAGGCGTCTCCTAATGATCACACACATACCCATTCGAGCATAGTTGAAAGTCCTATTATGAATGGACAGAAAGTCGCGGGTCCGCCAATACCAACTACCTCGCGAGGCTCGACGCCTCCACCAGGAGTATCTGTTCATACTGTTCATATAGGCTCGCCTACTGGCCCATTACGTGCTCAAACCCAGCTCGCGTCCATGCGTGGTGCACTCGAGGCTGCGAGACTACGAGAAGAGAAAGCTCGTACAGAGGCTGAACGTGTGGGGAAGGAAAATGAAGAGCTAAAGTGGCGATGGAATGAAGATACGATGGCTTGGAGGAGGAGGGAAGGTGAAGTGAGTATCTACTCTTCACCGAGCCTATTATGCGGCGGTATTCGTTATTATCGTTTCACTGACCGTATTCCTCAGTTACAAGCTCAAGTCCATCACCTTATGCAGCAGCTTCAGGCAGCATACTCTATCCTTACAACTTTACAAGCTCAATCTCCATCATCATCATACTCCTCTCCCACATCACCATCCCCACGCCTGCAACCTCACAGCCCCAATATCTCTCACAATGGCCTTCCCTCACATTTCAGCCACAATCCACCTGCACACGTTCAAGCACTCCTTGCATCATCCTACCACCCATACCCCGGCTTTCCAGGTACCTATGGAGGTGCAGGGATGACGCCTTTATTCTCCGGTCTGAGAATGACCATGAATCCGGGAAGCAGCGTGAGGAACGGTGGTGGCAAAGGCCAATATACCCCTGACACGACTTCCTCGGCGGGGTCATCGCCATCACGTGGAAGGCGACGACGGCGCAATTCGGCATCTTCATCTGCTCAAGAGAATAGTAGTGAAGACGTGAGCATCAGCGAAACCGAGGGAGACCAAGAGGATATGTGGCAGAATAGTATATTGGCCGATGCGATTCTAAAGCGCCCTGAAAGCCTGCGTGTGCCTAGCCAAGGGAGTCTTCGATCTGATGGGCGCATGAGCGCTACAGGGAGCGGGACGAGTGGGAAAGAGGACGCAGGACGTGTGCCTAGCAGGATGAGCGAGAGATCAGATGCCTCTGCGAGCGGAGGCAGTTACGGGGTGCTGAGTATGTCGAGTTTGTCATCGGGTAAGAGCGAAGACGAGACGAGTGGCCTCATCGCAGAGGGCGATCTTACTCTGCCAGAAGTGACTGGAGGTACTAACGCTGGCAGCGAGGGAATGTCAGATCCTGACGTACCTACGCAAGATGGCTCGTTCTTGGACCCATCAACTCCCGCTCCTGCCAAAGGCGCTCAACAACAACCGGAGGTCGGATTTTGACTTATAACGTATTGTATCCCCCCTCTGCACCCCCACGTTTTCTTCCACCACTTTCGTTACTTTTATACGATACGATCGATCCATAGGGACTTGGAATTTGGATGTCGAGTCTGTATAATAAGGTATATCTTCAGATTATTGTCTTAATACACGTTGCGTGGTTCAGCCTTCGGTTGCGTTGACGCTTGAGGGCCATGGTATAATATATATTTTGCTTACGTACTGACGGCGTAATTAGCTCAAACTAGTTGGTACATAGAACAGAACCGACGACCTAGTTGTCCCAAGCTTCTTATACATAGATATACCAAGTTTAAAGGACGTACAGGGTTTGGAGCACCTGGGTTTACTACATGGCTGGTGTCCAGATTTAATGCAAACGACTATCCTGATAACTCGAATTGATTATGGGCTGTATTGCTAGGCCGGGGTCGAAGCACCAACTACAGACCGTTCTAACCTCTGCTTCAAGTAGAAGAAGACATCGGAGCAGTATTAGTTGAGGTTATGATGAGAACACTTGCAGAATATTTGCGCGATGATGACTGGTGGAGAGTGAGAGCGACGGGGAAAAGGAGATGAGCGTAAAGAAGAAAGAGAGAATGAGGCGCCGATTCTCAGGTCAAGTCCTTTTGACTGGGATTAACTCGGATGTGTGCTAGCGCTTCAATAGAATAGAAGCACACATGTGGAGAATCTTCATATGACCGCTTACAGAGGCCATGTTTCACGCGTCCGCGTCAACGTTCGCAAGTTCGCGACCCGCTCGAAACGGCCACTTATTCTGTTCATGCAGTGCCGCGCGTTGCTGATATTTCTGTACAGTACCTGTTTGTGATGGGTAAGAATACTTTAAGAACTCGTACTTATGTCATTCGGTGAGTTGACATATCCGCCTGTTTTTGATCACATCACTAGCCAGGTGGCAGTAGTCACACGAGCATTCATAAAATAGATACCATCCCTACATATGTTAGATGATAGTATAATTAACGACGAAATAAACATGACATGCATGATAGTCGGTTCAGCTAGATAGGTAATTATTTCTGGGCCATCCGACCTGCGGTGCACAACTGGTCCGCAAAATTAGGTAATTGTTTTCTGGGCAGACGGTCATCCCACTCGCGGTGCACAGCTGGTAGACAAAGTTTGAGTCCAGGAATGTGATGCGGGGGCGGAAGGCCCTTGTTTAACCACGTCTGGGTGGGCGCAGGCGCTTCAGGGATCCAAGGGGCCTATATTATCTATCCGTCAGACATACCGAATATGTTTGCTTACACGAGGGGACATACCATGTAGTTTCCAGCATCCAATTTATCAAAATCAATATTGTCGAGCCATGGGTGGTCGAGAACGGATCCCTTAATACCCAGACGATCTTCCGCCGTCGTGGTTAAAAGTCCTGCAACAATGGACTTGAGGGATGCGCTCACGCGGAGGCCCTTGGGCCACTTGTACTTCCCCGAGGAGATCCTCTTATATATTTTGTTTTCGTCCGTACCGAAGAATGGCTGGAAGTAATATAAGAAAGGTCTCATGGGGCAGGAATCACTGGTACTGACCGTTCTCTTCGTGAGCATTTCGTACAAAGTGACGCCTGCTGCCCACCAGTCGACACTGTATCCTATCATGTGTTGGTAACATAAGGTCTCAGGAGCCATGTAAAGCGGTGTCCCGATCATTAGCCAATCTGTGATTGGTCCGTTGTCAATCTTATCTAAACGGGCGTATCCAAAGTCTGCGATGGCCAAGTACCCATCCGGTCTAACAAGGATATTTGCTGGTTTGAAATCTCGATGAATAATTCCCTCGCCATGGAGGAAATAAAGCCCAGACACGATATTGGCGAAGTAGAACCGGGCAGTGGCAGCATCAAAAGGGCCGCGCGTTTGGATGACGTCGTAGAAACACCCGCTCGGTATAAACTCGAGCATAAGGTAAAGGTTCAATTCATCTTTGAAGACGCCTATGACACCATTCACCCAGGGACTCCAGGGCAAAGCCGATAGGTGCATCCTCTCTGCATGAGTGTCCGCAGGGTATTTCTGGTTGCAAGGTTATAGTTGCAAATATGATGTAGCAGTGTACATACCTGATGTGTGAATTTCGTCCTTTCCTTGGAAAGGACCTTGACTGCAAATAATGATCCTGGCCGTGCCAGTTTCCCTAGGTTGGGTTGATCACGCACTTGTACGAGCAGTACATGACCATAAGCTCCGTCGCCTACATCGAGTGAGACAAATTTAACTCTCGATTCAGAAATAGCGATGTCATACCTAATGTGCGAATACATTCGAAACCGTCCAAGGGAGGTGCGGGTGGGCGAGGGTCTACTACATCGGGTGGTAAGAGGCCACCGGTATAACCAGGTAACCCATGGACGGTGATGCATGGCTATAAACAACAGTCAATGAGCATGTTATGAATCAGAAGAGCACCAGGGAGTACAGACTGGTTTAGGATCATAATCCGAAGCACCTCGAGTCTTGGATGCTTTGAGAATATGCTTGCGAGCATGGATACCTTTGGAGGGGGCGGCATTTGCTTTGGGGGATCGAGAGGGATGTTTTGTAGCCCGCGAACTTTCAGACGGGTTAGTTGATGAGGGAGTTGGGTATCGCATTCTGATTCTGATGGTAATAGATATTTCGTGAAGCTTGCGAGCGACAAGATCGTTGAACTGGGATGAAACACTCAAGGTTGCGAAACCCAGACTTCAGACATGGCCAATAAATATTGTAATGGGGGCAACGGTAACTCCACACCATGGTCTATTGTTCCACAAAAAGGTGTGGTAGCAGGTCAAAGCTTCGAATTTCGAAAGCGGAGTGTTTAACTAACCCAGCGCGTTTGTTTGGCGCTTGTTGTGCGTGTTGCGGCTGTGGTCAGTCCTCTACCAACATATGCGTACTAGCTTGTGGTACGCAACACGGTTTATCAATTATCGGTCGCAAAGTCTGCCCAATCTCTGCAATGACTCCAACGTTGATTACTGAAACAAAACCTGAGGATTGGACATATATCTCCGAGGGAGGGGCGACTATCGTATTCTCGTATCGAGGACCTCACAATGTCCAATTCTCTGATCACGTCCTACGTCTGCGTAAAGTCGCTCACGGGTCATCAGACAACACGCTGCTCGATACCAACAGTGAACAGCCAGATGATCCCATGATCGCCTTTCAAGAGAACATCATCTCAAAACTCGTTCCTTCTGAGTTTCTGCCGAGTCTTGCGATGGTGGTGCTCGACGAAGATTGGCTTAGGTCACTTATTATCCTACGCGACGGCGATCGTCCAGCAGAGAGAAGGCAGACGGATCAGATTGATGTTCGCAGGACCAAGGGTGTATTAGCTACGGATCTCATTGGGGGTATGCCCATCGCGATGGAAATCAAGGTGCTCGCCAGTTTATTGGGAGAGTACCTGGGTCTGACTAATTATTTAGCCGAAATGGGGATTTTTACCTACAGAATACCATCTCTCGCCTGAGACTGTCGATCTGAAGACAGGAACGTGCAGATTCTGTATGCATACGAGCTTCAGAATGGAACAAGGGGCCGTCGGTACGACCTATTGCCCATTGGACCTTTTCTCTTCAGATGAGACGCGTGTTAGAAAAGCCTTAGGTGCTTTGTGGGCTGGGTGGTATGAGAGCAATGGGTCTCTCAATAACCTACGGTTCTTCGTCCAGGGCAGAATGACAAAACCAGATGATGTACGTCTTTAGTACATCACGTTCTCAGATTTCTGATACATTTGGATAGGATCACTCGGTACAATTGTTGGCACACTTCTTCACGGCGGACGGATCGACTGACGTCCAGAACCTTCGGCAATCGTTCACATCCGTTCTTGCGCAGGCACTTCTTGACAGTCCCGTTCTTTCCCTCCTATCAACTTTACAACGAACACTGGATGTACTCGATGTAGAGGGCTTATCTAAGTTATACATACAAACATTACCAGATTTCCCATATAACGGTCTCGGGTCTTCGGTTCCCGATCCTTCCATGGAGGAATGGAAGGACTTCGTCAAAATCTACCACTCTGATTATCACTCCTGGAATCACACAGTTCCAAGTCCTCGACACCTCCGGCATTATCTCATGGCATACCTTCTTTCAGCGACGTTTAAGGATTGCTCCATTATTATCTGGCCCAAATCTACGCAGGTATGCTCGTTTGATGTCACAATCATCGACATGGATATCAAGAGCATGGATCGCTTGGGGAAGTGGGAAAGGTTAGACAGGAAAATCGTGGAGCATTACAAGAGTTCGGGCAGCCAGCGGCGTTGCATCGACAGTCAACGATGTACACGTATGTGTTGCTGCTCTCTCGCATCGAATGTTGCTTACAGATATATTTGAAGGACTGTAACCGAAGTGGCGTTATCAGACTGATTTCTGAATACCTCTGGAGAATCTCTGGGATGAGTGATTTGTATTTGGCATTTTGCTTTCCGTGACTGTAACTGATATACAGGATGTATTCAAAGACCACATTGGCCGTGATGTATATCGACTTGAGTCCAGCTCGTACAAGTCCATCAAGGGCTATCAGGCTCAGACTCGACCAACAATCTGCTAGTTTTTTCCAGTACGACTAAAGGTAAATGTTATGCTGTAGAGACTGTTGACAAGTCCTCTGCAGAGCTTGTCGGAGTCGTCGGAGAGCCGTTATGATTACTCTGGTGTGATTGGCCTGAACCTGCTGATTACAAGAACGAAGGCAGAATCAAGGAATATCTACTCTCCTGTGATTTGGCCCGAACTTGCGCATCTCAAGAACGAAGACGGTGTCAAGGAGTCGTACCTGTTGTATCCTTTGTTTGCTAATGATGTTGCATGCAGGAAAAATCATACGATCGCGATCTTAGTTAAATGTGATACTGTCTGAACGATACAGATTATGGCAGACTTATAACCCGCCCATGTTCCGTGGCCGAGTTGCTGTGCCTTCCATCCCATGTACAGGCTCTACATCAGGTTCCTGTAACAGCTTTATTTCATGCTGATGGTAAACAGCAAAGACACACAAGCCATGAAACAGTAACTGGTCAACTAAATTTGACCTATCATTGTGCTTCTGGTGGATAATCAAGTGTGGAATTGAGCGTCCCCTATGATGAATCTTAGCGATGAGACTCTAGATTGGGAAGGAAGTGAAATGACTAGTGCTGAGGTGTACGTTGGTCCCTGGTTTAGTGCCCAGTTGATTCTCACCTTTGCCTTTCTTTCCAAAAGTTGCCTCACCTTCCAGCCACACTAGCCACCGGTATGATTCACAGGATATACCTCGTGATATATATCCCAACATTGCTCTGCTGGATGCATCAATCCACTAGTCTGGGTCCAACCATCAGGGCGCTAGCTTAAGAACATTGTGTTAGGAAGCCTGAGGTTTGGCTTCAGGGGCTTTTGGAGGTTTTGAGGGTCTTTCGGAGGTGTCAGGGGTCCTGTCTGGACCTCGAGGCACCTAGGTACATATACCTAGTGCCTGTCAGTAGATAGCCTTTGCTCATCCCACCTGTTCTGTTTCTCTTTGCTTGGTTTGATGCCATCCATCCAACATGACCATCCATGATGCATTGCACACCTAGCTTGGACGGATTGGCTGATGACATCCTCATACAGATACTTCAGGTATCATCTGTGTGAGAAATATTGACACTACGATGCATACATCTTTTATTGTTATTTACATGTGAACCCACATGCATCCCACCTTTCCCAGACCTCCAAATGTTTCTATTCTCTGTCCAAGGTTTACTGCATTTGGTATGTAGTGTTCTGCGCCGAAGTATTGGCCTGCTGCCTTCCTCTCCCTGGCCCTTCATGCTCTCTCAGTGCTCTGTCTTCTGCTGATCTAGAGTATCGGACATTATTAGCTCTTGCTCTCAAGAGATGGTGGTCACAATCCAAGGCCAATGTCATTGTTTTGAGTGGAGAACAAGAGATTGTCGACCAGATCATGCTTGTCCCCGGAGGAATGCAGGTCTTGACAGTCCATGGAAATAAAGTAGTGTAGTGGCTCATCTCTGGCAAACCAGGCTCACACAAGCTTCATAACATTGGAGCATGGTCACTGCCAAGTGATGGTACATGCATAGTTGTGAAGGACATGGAATGCCAGGGAATTATTGCCATCGGCTCTAGAGACAAGTGAGTTCCTTGGCCTCTCGACACCATGTGAAGTATCACTGACAAGGGATAGTCCAAACCGACATGCTACAGTATTCTCGCTCTCCTTAAAGCCTGCTCTCAACAAGTTTTGTGACTACTCACTCGTCCCTGGCACTATTGCAGGGATTTCACAGCACCTGCTTTTCCTGGATACCACGTCACAGAAGGATGGGGGCGGCCTCGAGGTCCTAGATTGGCATGCTAAGACAGAGGGCACTGCCCTTCTTCCGTGTATACCTGAACTGGTGAGTCTTGCAAGTGAAACTTCAGATGATAGACCAATGTGATTTCTTTCAGTTTGGTGCCTTCCTAGGCTTGGTCCATTTCTCAGACCGCACACTTGTAACGTGGGAGGGATGCATTAGTGTGTTCCCAGTACCCGATGTACCAGCCAAAGGATGAACTGTGGTGGTGCATACTAAAGTATTCATGTTTTATAAGCAAGTCAGCTCACCTATCACCTTTACAGCTTGTGCAGATGCCATGTATGCAACATCACAGGAAGCACATTCCCTTACACTCGCTACTAGAGGCAAATCGGGTGGGATTTCTTTGTCAATGCTTATTCTGCATGACTATGAGAGGGGAAATATCTGTATATTTTCTTGTACCAGCTTCTCCAACTCTCTATGGTTGTTCCAAACGTAATACAAGATTTAGGGGGGTGCACACAGATATGCCTGGGGTCATCTAGGCATGGGTTGTTTGTGTATGAGGGGAAGGTGCGACTTTGCATACCAAGTTTGTTGTTCACACCCCCATGTGAGGTGCAGTTTGGTCCTGAGTTTGAGATGGAAAGGGTTGTATATGAGATTGAAACTGTTGATGTTGGTGGTAGAGACAAGATCGACTTTGATGAGGGGATGGGACGGCTAGTTTTTGCAAAGGGAAGTGGGGGATTTGATGTGATGCAGCTGTTGTAATCGGCCATGCTAAATTTGAAGTGTCAATTGCCTTATAAAAATCTATATTAGATTTAATGTACCAGAATTTGCTTTAAATAATGGGAGTCTATGTGCTGCACTGCTTGGTGGTAAGACATATGAGAACACATTTCATTCTGGATGTATAAAGTATGCTTAGTGTTGGTGAACAACAACTAATATTATTATGTTCAATGTACCTGTAGAAAGTATGCTAAGGCAATTCGAGTGAGTATGGAGATAAGTGCAAGAAAACAAGAACATGTACCTCAGTGTTGGTGAACAACAACTGAGGTACACAAATGATGAGGGGACAGAATACTTATGGGGATGAAGAAGAACAGAGATTAAATACATCAAGAAGTGAAGCCATGCGATAAGAAGTGAAACCATATGGTACAAAGTGGCGAGGTTGCACCTTATATCCAAAATCAATGTTAATTAGTCTAAATGCAGAAGGCAAGTCCAAATGCAGAGAACACCTTTCCTCCAACACATTCTCTCCAACACAGAGAACATCTTTCTTCCAATGTCTTCCTTCCAACACACCCCCTCAACCTGCCATAAGTGATAGACCAGCACAATGAGTGACAAATGTAGAATGCAGAAGAACTTTGGTGAAGATGTCAGTACTGTTGTGATGAGTGGAGACCCAGATGAGTAAGAAGGTGCCAGCCTTAATGTATTTTCTAATAAAATGGTAATGTGTCATATCCTGCATTCTGGACCTGGACCTATCACACACTCATCTCTGGATGTCTGGATCCAAACCACTTCTTTCCCCTTTTGTATATTTCTTTTTGGTTAGCCCCTTTTCCGGTCCTCTGGTTATGTTCATACTATGCCTCACAGCTGTATTGTCATGACCTGAATATCTCACTCAATTCCTATTTCCATACATAATTTATAACTTGGATCAATGTTTTTATCATGTAGTTTTCATTGTGAGGTTGAATGTCTGATTTTTATTAAGAAATGGTGAAGTTCATTGAAAGCTGTCCAAGTCACACTGGTGACAGCCATCCCAGTGCTGCTGTAGCGGAGTTCTAAACCAATGGCTGTGATGACTTGTCAGTGCTAGTGAGCTTAGGCAAATTACAAGAGTCTTATGAGCAGTGAAATCACACCAGCCTGGCATCAAGTCTATATCATATCCTGCACCATACAATTACAGTCATGTTCCATACTATATTCCACATCACACTAACTAATCATTGACCTGAGGCTATAATACAAATTTCTTAGGCATTGCCGAGCAGACTCTGAAAGTGGCAGCAGTGACAATGTGTGACCTAATGACTTATGGGGGTGACAATACACCTGTGAGGCATAGTATCCAACTGTACTTATTTATCTGGACCTTATTTTATTTCTGACTTCATTTTATTATGTTCTATTATATTATTGATAAGCTTTCCACATGCTTCATACATAGCCTTGCACTGCACTGACTGATCTTCCATCATGTTTCCTGTAGTATATAAACCTTGTAAATTCTCAGTACATTCTCAGTTTGAATATTATCTTAGATTCTGCTCATTCCTGCCTCTGTGCGACTTGAGTTTCTCCTCTCGTCATTCTCCGATAGTCTTAGGATTGATTCCTATTGACTGAACATTCCTGCCTCTACCTCTGGTAGTCTTTTGCTGTTTCTTTGTAGTCTGAACTTCATCTGGATTAGTCTCCCCTCTTGTTTCCAAACATTCGCTGAGATTCCTGTGCTTCAGACTCTGGACTTTCAGACTTTGTCCTTTAGCCCTCAGAAATTAAGAGCACATACTTGGATAAGGGGCACAGCACATGAGCTGAAGCCAAGCCCTTCAGATCAGACCCTTTGAGCACATTCTTAACATAATGCAGATCTATGTGTTTTGTGCATGTATGATTAGCAGCTTCTGTGGACAGCATGATAGCACCTGTATTGTCGGCATAAAGCTTGAGAGAGTGTGTGAAGGTGATTTTTAAACATTCACAAAAAGACTTGATTCAGAGTCTGTCCTGAATTGCTCCTGTTAACACCATGTACTCTGACACCACCAAAGACAATGCTTGCATTAACCACTTCTTTGCTGCATGTGAGATAGGACCACTGTGATAATACCACACATAGCCAGTGATGGAAATATAATCTTTGGGAGATGTGACCAAATCAGAATCACTGAATCCATGGATGCTGGTGTCTGCATTCTTTCCTCCATAATGCATACAATAGGACAAAGTGCTGGAGAGATAATGAAGGACACATTTTGTGGCAGCATAGTGACAGAGTTTGGGGTTAGAATTGTGCTGGGAGCTTTACGACAGCAAGGGCAATATCAGGACAAGTGTACATTGTAAGATAGAGCAGTTCTCTGACAAGCTTACAATATTCTGACTGTGCACTTAGTTCCATACTCACTCAAATTGTCTTAGCATACTTTCTACAAGTACATTGAACATCATAATATTAGTTGTTGTTCACCAACACTGAGTGTACTTTCTATGGGTTATGAGCCCTGTGTCCTAAATGACACAGAAACTGGAAATATATGAACTTCCTCTTATTGGAGCAATTCAATCTTTTCCTTCCTCTGTTCAAATTCACTCTGACATAGCACTCAGCCTTGCACTAGGCTCATATTCAGTGAATTCATGGCACATGTCAAATGCCCATCACATGCCAAACATTCTCCAATGTGACCAGATGATAATAGAGATGAAGGACAATAGAAATAGATGTAGAGCAAGGCGATAATGGATATGATGTGGGCGGTAAACAGATACTGATTGCCAATAGCTATCAACTGTAGGCTAATGGGAGTTGCTACTGGAATGTCCAGAAAACAAGCTACTGAATGATATGTACTGCTAGTGCTTAAGTATTGCGCTAAGTGCTGTCATGTGGAACCGAGCCAACACACTACCGAGTTAGGTATGTAAAACTACATGTAAGTAAGGGTCTATGATGAAATAAAGGTGATGTGATGCGGAAATAGTCTGATATAAAAATATAATCATGGAATAACATACCATTGGGTTGGTTTTGGACTATGGATGAATGTAAAATGTCGGCTGATGAAGCACAAGAAAAGTGTGGCTGTGCACATGTGGGGGAATGCTGTGGCCATCACGGAAAAGTAGCGGCCATTGAGTGCAGCTCATGGGAAAGCTGCACTTCATACAGTAAAGCAATAGGCTGCTAAGGGATACCACAAAAATAGCCTCTATGAGGCTGTAAGGACTTCCAGTCCTACACTGCTAACCTGCTAAACCCAAAAATATTGGACCCAATGCTTTGGCATCAGACATCGTAGTTATACCTTTGGACATCTTTTCTCACATTTGGATGATTGACCACTGATTATATCACTAATATTCTGACTACTTCCAAACAGCAAACCCCTTGGGTCAAATGTACTTATCTTGCAAGTATAGTAGACTAGGCTGTGCAAGACCAAAATATTGATATTTTGCTAGATATTTACTTCATGTAGTGTCCAGCAATTGTTGTTTCCCTATAATATGTTGTCTCAACAATGGGAAAGTACGACCACATACTAGAGCTGATAGGAGCAGACAATTACATTTCCTGGAAGACACAGGCACAGCTTGTCTTAATGAATGATGACCTCTGGTATTATGTCACCAAAAATGCAGGCCCAGTGTGTGCAAGGAATGATAGCTAGATGAGAAGGGGTGAAAATATTTGAGGGATGTAAATATGATGTTTCACTGGTTTCAAACCTGCTGCACTCCAATAGAAACAGATTTGGATTCTGTTATGATAACCACTTGGCCAGACATAGCTCTAATTAGCTTGCAGGCTAACCGACCATAAGCATGTGTCGAGGTGTGCTTTCATAGAATAAAAATAAAAATATTATCATCGGCAGGTTTCAGACCTGCACTGTTTAAGAGAAACAGATTTTGACTCTGATGATCACTGGATCAATTTCATCTTTAGCAGGTTTTCAACCCACACAGACAGATGTAGATTCTGTTGTATCAATTGCTTGGCTAAGACCAGTTAGATTCACTTCCAATGAACCCAATGATTCAGAAGTGAGTCCTCGAGGTACATTTATCTGCATTTTGTCAGTTATTTCAATAGCATGATTGCTGTTGATTCTTTTATGATGCTCTTATTGCAAAGGACACAGACTCCTGCTGGGGCTCTTAACTTCAAGACCTGTTTATGTAGCAATTGCCCTGAAAAAGTGCTGATGGCAGACTCCCACGGTGGGCCCATGAGTGAAAACTGACATAATCTGTATAATGATGTGTATTTTGCATTAACTTGTGATTCATGATGTTCCATCATTTTGGATTTCATAGAATAAAAACATTGTTATTGGTGGGTTTCAAACCTGCACAGTTGAAGAGAAACAGATTTTAAATCTGGTGACAACTTAACCAAGACCAATGAAGATCAATGTCTGAGATGCTGTCCATGAGCAATATTCAAGACACACATTCTTAGAGAAAAAAGGCGACATTCAACAAGTTTTAAACTTGTTGCACTCTGATGGAAACAGATTTTGATTCTGTTATGGCAGCCACTTAGCCAAACACGACTGTGATCAGCTTGCAAGCAAACTGACCATGAGCAGATTTAAAGGTGTGTTTTCATAGAAAATGAATTTTATCACTGGCATGTTTCAAACCTGCACAGTCCAAGAGAAACAGATTTTAACTCTAATGATCACTTGGCAAATTCATCTTTAGCAGGTTTTGAACCCACAAAGACAGATTTAGATTCTGTTGTATTAGCTGCTTGGCTAAGACCAGTTGGATGCACTTTCAATAAATTCATTCAGAAGTGAATCCTCTAGGCACATTTATCTGTTGGGTTCCCTTCCCAAGCAAGTTGTAGTGCTGCCAGTGAATTGAGGTGTGCCAACCAAAATTAGAAATTTCTGACAGAATACTCCAAAATGTCTGACTGTCCCCATTTGTATCTGCTTGCACTTGGACCTCTGAGAATCTATACACTGCAAAAAAATTGTGAGCAGGTTTTAAAG